AAACATGTCCAATCACAACTGACTTAAGCCACCTGACTAATTGTAGAAGTGGACTAGTTCGAACAAAAAAACTTAGTTCACCGGATATTCAACTGAGAAGAAGCCAAGGTTCAATTTGCAAAGCAAGAACCAAATGACACGCCATCGATCCTGACCTTCAAAACGTGCCATGACTTTCTTTCAAACCAGAATCAAACTCAAGGCATACAGATTTACACTCATTTCCCAAATCAATTCGCTACATGAAAATACTTTCCCATATAAAAAATAAAATAAAATGTAATGTGGTTTTTAAACTGCAAATGTATACTCCATGGAAAATCCTTACACCCCACAACTTTATTCTTTTATGTTATATATATGAAAATTAAATCAGTTGTTAAATACATACGAAATAAATATAATTCAGCAATTCTTAATCTACAATCACATTCATAACAATCATTCATTAGGTTGTGGATGTATACGGTCCATGAGTAGTAACCAAATATTAACTTGAATCCAAAGTTAATAAATATAGAACCGAGACATGAGGCTGGAAGAATAATAAAAAAACCGGTATGGTTTGGAACCTAGTCGGTATGGTAAGTACAATATATGTATTATAGTTACGAAATGTTGGTGGGTGTCACAGTACATTCTTTGGTGTTGTGTGCTCTTTCACCCTCATAATATTCTAACTTTATATATTAATCATGATAATAATATATAGATATAGAGAATTTGACGTTACATATATATTCAACAAATTTTAATATAAAGATATGGACCCCCTTATGAACAATGTACATCACATCTCTCTCTCTATGACTGTTGTTGGTTAATGAGACAACTACAACACCTTCATGCCACATCTCATTCTTCCCCAATCTTCGGTCTTGTCCATTGCATTTGAACCAACCCATGGTACAATTTGCCAATTCCTGAGGCCCCATCTCGTTTTTTTTTTCCTTTCTATAGATTTATTCCTATAGAAGGGAAAACAATTGGCATACAGTGGCCGATTTGTGGTGAAATAAAGAATATAACAAGGATTTCTGTTCTTTTAAATATTGACATTAAGTTTGATGAAAATATATATTAACATTTCTTGATTAGTATCGAAATTTTGAGTAATCGGTATGATTATATATAGATTTTTTTTTTGCCAACTACAAATATAAATTTAATATTCAAAACTGAAAACCTAAAACGGAACTACGGGAGAGATTGTTTACAAATGAAATCGAACAACTTCTGAGTTTAATAACAAATTATATTTTATTTTCTATAAGCTAAGTGATAAGTAAATGTGCCTTTTAGACTTTAAATAGTAATCTTTGAAAAATTATATGTTGGAAGTACTACTGTTGGTTCCAATATTAAAACATTGAACCTCTTTTTTCCCAGTTTTAATATATCTCTCTAGCTATTGAATATGTTCAAAATTATTACTAGGCAGTGATCAAACTTTAAACAAAACTATATCTATACATCCAATGGATCATGATAACTTTTTAGTATATATATCTTATGTAGCTCCCAAATAGTATCACTAGAAAAATCTTCTTAATTTGAGTGTATTCTTTCTAATCAATTTTTTTTCTCACCCGGCTTAGCCGTGCAACGTGCAATTTCATTGTGTGATACTCCCTCTGTTTTCAAATAGTTGTCGTTTTAACTATATGCACACAAATTAAAAAACTATTAATGTTGTTAGTTTTTCAATATAAAAATATCATTAATTATTTACCTAAACATAATTTAACCAATAGTAAATCAAGTTGCATAATAAAAATAAATATAAAAAATAAAAAAGTAATAAATTTTGCATGGAAAACTGAAAACGACAACTAATTAAAAACAAAAAATTTTCTCTAAAACGACAACTATTCAAAAACGGAGGAGTAGGAAATATATGTAGCTTCTTCTTAGCTATAACTTTCCAAAATCTTTAAAAGGGATATTAATGTCAACCTTTTTCTTGCTTCCTTCTTTTTGAGATTGGAAGGGAATGAAATAATTTAATTCACAACTCTAGAAATTTTGCTATTTGCATATCATAAAGTGGTGGGTCCAAAATAACCCTAAGATTATATTTCAAAATGCGTAAAGCTTAAAAGTATTTTTTGGGTGTTTCTTTAAACATTATATGGAAGATTTTAGTATTCACTTTATTCTCCAATTAGAATGGCCACTTGAGAGTTGAGAGGGATATTTGTGCTCGGTGAGAGTGAAAGGAAAAGAAAAAAAAATGGAAAAAAAGTGAGAAAACATATTATATACTTCCTCCGTCCCACAAAAATAGATTTTTTAGAAATTTCATATTCTTTAAAAAATAATGTGTAATGACAATTTTAACTTTTTAACTTTTTAACATATTTTAAAATGTATATTATTTATTGTTATTTAATAAGGGTAAAATAGGTAAACTGTTTTAAATTTGACATTAGAAACACAAAACTTGTATCTTTGTGGGACAAATTTTTTTCTAAAAAATTCATCTATGTGGGACGGAGGGAGTATCATTGTTAATGAGACAATGATGAATAAATAACGTTGGGCTATTCCCATGTAAATACCAAAAACTAATTAATGCCCATTTTGAAAGTTTGTTTTCTTTGAAAAGCTTGACGCATAAGACAATACTCCCTCCGTTTCGTTTTAGTTGTCGTTTAAGGTTTTTTCACACAAATTAAGAAAACATTAAATTTTCTGTTTTACTCTTTATTAATATATTTTATAAAAAAATTTATTGGCCAAAACATTAAAATTGTAAGGATAAAACTGGAATTTTCACCAAACATTTGCATTGAAAACTTAAAACGACAACTATTATGAAACAAAATTTAAATCCTAAAACGACAACTAAACTGAAACGGAGGGAGTACTAATTTGTATCACCATGTTTTCATCAAATTAGTCTAATTAATACTTTTGAAATAAAGTATCTACAAGAACATTCTTTTCATTTCTTTTACTCTTATTTTTTACACTTCACTGTTTCTTAGGAATTATACTACAATCAAATAGTAGACCCACCCAATCATGATAATCTGTGAGTAATACACACAAAAAATGAGCACATATGAGTTATATATATAATAATAAATAGAAAATTAGAATTTTTATTTTCTAAATACATATTTTGAAAATTTTAATTATTATTTTTAGCTAAGTAAAAATCAGTACTAAAATTATTATGCAATGATTATATTATATATGTTCGTTAAGATACCACACAAGAAAACACTTTTGCAGGACGCTCCAATGGGGTCGATTATTTCTTATATATTCCTTAATCTTGATCTCTTTCCCTCTCTCAATTACAAAAATGAGCAAATGTTTATTTCAGTCCAAATTTTTTATTTTATTTTTTCTCTCTAATGTGTAGGACAATTTTTCCATAATGGTAACAGAATGCAAGAAACATATGGGTCCATTATAAAAGTTAAATTAATATTCAGCATACATATAGACAGAGGACAACAGCTGGTTTATTAGGCAGCTATAGGAGTCTTGCCTTTTGCCCTACTTGAATAATTTTCACTAATCACACTCTTTATTTATTTTTTCGATTTTTATAACCAGAAATTATTTTGGAATCGAAATTCGTTATGAATTTCAGATCTACAACTACAAAATAAATAATACGAACACAGTACTTAAAAATAAATGTACCCAAAAAACTAATGTCTGAACTTTACAGATAGAGCATATATAAACTATGCTTACTTTTTTTTTTTTTGAAAAAGAATAAACTATGCTTACTTAAGTGACAATATGTATTATGTATAACTTAAGTGGATTTTATTGATTGATTAATGGAATATATATAGCATCTAAAACTTTATGGAGTTTTTGTTTAATTCAAGTTTCAATCAAAAATGAAAATATAAATAACTGATTATTTTTAAATAATGCCATCATAGTTTTCTTTAAAGCTTAAATCGAGTTAAATCTTAAGCTTTAATTATGAGTGGTACTGTAATGGTTTAGTGATGCCTGATTTGTCAAATTTTGAAGTCATAAACCGGTTGTAGAAAGAATTCCAAATAACGGCTTCATTTTCAGACAAAAATAAGTATGGGTTTGCTGCGAATATTCTTTGTTTGCAAAAAATTCTTCATCTTCTACAAACCAAACCTTTTTAGTTTAAAAAAGAACAAACCTATATTAAAGATAAATTTTACAAATCTTTGTAATACTTAACTAGATTTTAACCCGCGGTACACCGCGGGTCGACTTTTTAACTAAAAAGTTTTAAATTTTAAGTTGTAATTATTTTGTTAATATTATTTGTTTTGTTTAGTGTTTAAGATTATATATTGAATTTTGATTATTATTTCTAGGATTTTAACCCGTGGTATATCTTTCGGTATTATTATCAAACTAAACCCGTCCCACCATATAACCCCGTCCCGTGAAATTAAACATCATTTTTTTTAATAACACATTTGTTTAGAAAACATATAATTCGAGTCAATTTAAAAGTTTGCTTTTAAGTGGTTCCATAGTATAAATATTTATAATTTTTATAGTGTTCAAATATTATTAATATTATAAACTTTTTATGGAATTAAATATTATAGATACTTTAAATATTATTAATTTATACTTCTTATAAGGTTAAAATATTTATAATATTTGAAACCTTATAAATAATAATAATCTAAAGCAACATATTATTCTTTAGACATAAATAATCTTTATATATTTGGTAATAATTTTTTGGGGGTTAATCTAATTTATAAATAAACATTATTTATTGCCAAAATGAGTTTGGTTTAAAATAAGTAATATAGCCAAATGAGTTTGTCAAATAACGAATAGTAACCATAATTTAACTAATCTACATTAAAATAAATATATTTAGAAAATGATTTACTCAAAAAATTGATAAATATAGATTAATCTATAAAGGTTATTTTATCACATGATTTTTTCATTTGATGGTAAACCACTAAATATTTTTTAGTAAACAAACCAAAGAAAATTTTCAAATCAATACTAAGAGCATCTCCAAATCAATATTAAGAAGCTACAACGGATTATGGTTAACCCTGCAAATATTTTCACACTCAAACATGAACCAATATACCAAAACAATAAAAATCAGAATCATTTCCTCATTTGTCCAAACACAAAAACATGTAGATTAAGGTAACGTAGAATGACCAGTTTCCGAATACACTGGGAAGCTCCTCAATTCAACGTGATGCTATCAAACATAAAGCCATAGAAAGATAAAGTGAGTGATTTATCAAAAAAAAAAAGAGATGTAAGTGATTCAAATCAAAGAAGAATAGGAAGAACCTTAGTCCAAGACATGTAGAAAATAAAGCAAATGATTTGCAGAGCTGAGGGACGGCGAGAGTGGAACCATGCACATTGATTTGATGACTAAATAACCTCACTTATATATAGAGAATAAGTAGTCCATTGATTTAGGTCTTGTTATGATACAATATTAACAAAAAAAAAAGATTTGATGAGTAATTGTTATCTTTAAGTTATATATTTCTGTAATTATTTTCCTAAAAAGTCTACAACAGTTATTAGGTTCTGTAATTGTTTTAGGAAATTATTTATTTTGCAATACATTTGTCGTTAGAAAGTTTTTAAAATAAAAGGAAATTATTGTTTTTATTTATTATTGCAATTAATGATGGATCTTTAATTATGAGAAATCATACCAAATATATTTGAAGATTACAGTAAATCATGGAATAGTTATTATCGAGATTTTTAAAGTAATTAGTTGGAGGAGATTTGAGGAAAGATCTTTAGAATAATATCTTTAATTAATTTTTTCAAATCTTAAAAATTAACTCCAATGGCATTGTTTGTAAATACATTCCAACTCCAGGATTTATTTGCTAAAAGTCATCCAAAAATGTATATATAGATTCAGGAAAGTTTCAAATTACAATAGAAGAAAAGAAGACAGTATGATTTAAGACAAGATGCAGATTTATATATACTACAAGTCTATAACGTAAGAAAAATAAATAAATAAATAATGATTTAAAAAAAATAGAATGTGTGACAAAGAGATATGAACGTCAACGGATTGGTAGAATCAACGGAGACTTTCATTCTCCGATATATTCCAAAAAGGTGTAAATTATTAATTTAGACAATATGGAACCTCACGTTCTGTTGGATCCATTTAATGCGTGCAGTGATAATTTATTTTAATTTTTATAATTACTAGTACTACACTACTACTATATAAAATCAGAAAAGTTAAAACAAAACAGCATTAATTGTTTAATTACTTGTCATATTGGATCTCTCTCACCGACGTACGTTCGTGTCCATGCATTAATATTATCACACGTTTAAGAGATCCATCTACTCTGCAATTTCTTCAGATTTAGTAATTATGCTTTTTCTTAATAATAAAGGAGAATTCTTGTATACAATATAATTATTCTCCATTATTTTTATTCTATATTTTGTTTAACCTTGATAGATCGAGTTTTAATTCAATTAACTAATCGTAAATAAACGATAAAGTAAATTATATAAAATATAAGACAGAATCCATAAATACCAACTATCAAACAAAAAGCTTATGATAATAGAGATTAGATTCTTCTTCTTTTTTTGACACAATGCCATTTCCATTAATAAAAACTTAAACCAAAACCGGTACAATGTATTGCACGGATAATTTTGCGATATAGCATCAGCTTCACGATTCATAGAGATTAAATAAATCCTAACTTTTAGAAAAGTAGAAGATAAACTCAGGATATCGTGGAGTATCCCGTATAATTTCTGTAAAAGATTACTAAATTGAGAGGTTTGTAAAACCCAAATAAGAGGCCAAAACTAAAAGTTGTAATTTTTTCAATCCCTATGAACACAATAAATCAAGTAAACTAGAAAACAAGAGAATAATAAAATAAACAACGATGAAACGTTTTAAAAGGCGTATTAGACATTAGAAACTTTGTTGTGATTCATGTATGTAAAAATAGATAAATCATCAAGAACTTTTCTAGAATTCAAATCATAGAATTTCACTAAAACAAATTTCCAAGTATTAACCTCTGTGCGTAAATATATGAATTCCAAATCGTAGTTTGAATGCAAGACAATAAATAAGCTACAGGTTCAGTAGTTCACAATAACATCAATTTTCATTTGCTAAGGAAAAATTGCTCATGTAGATTCTTTCATGCATTTAAACATGTCTTTATGTGTTACCACCTAGGATCTAAAGCTAGCTAGGTAACAATTCGATATCTAACACAAAGAAAAATTAAGATGAAGAAACCAAATGATATTTCTGTAAATCAAGATCTCAAACTATGAAAACTAATTAAATGACGTTCTTTCCCATCTTAATGTGATTTCACCGTTCCATTCCACATAAAACAAAATAAAAGTAATCTCCGTTACACAATTTCACAATGCTACTAATATTACTGTATTAGCAATGATATGATATGATTATCTATATGTATTCAAAGTAATTCAAGTTTCAAGCAACCATTAGAAAAAATGGTAATTCGGATGCTATCCGAATTTTGAATCACATTTTATAATATATTTTTTTGGGGCGAAAATCACATTTTATAATATTTGCAAGACTTGTTTATAAAGCTGAATACTAATAATGGAACTTAATATATTTTTCGTTAAATTCCAATCTACTGACAATAGTCAAAACCATTAAATTAATGCGAAATGCACGTAGCAAAAAGCATAGGGAAAAAAGATATAAACTTATAAAGACATACATGCAATATATATATATATATATATATATATGATGGACCTACATTGATTATATCTCTAAAGTTAGCAACTAATCAATGGAAGACACGTGGGTATTAATCTGGTAGGAAAATAATAGAGATCATGCTATTAAAAATATACTCCCTCTGTTCCTCAAAGTTTGATGTTTTAGTGTTTTAGGTCTGTTCCACAAAGATTGATTTTCTAATTTTTTATTTTATTTTTTATTAATTATTTTAAACAAATTGTAGATTTCAAGACGTAGTGATTACAAATAATTAACTGTTTTAGATTACTATTGGTTCATAGATTATAAAAAATAAATAGAAAGAAAAAATTATCAAATGATTGAATCATGATTATTTCTTAATATATGTGTAAACTCTAAAACATCAAACTTTCAGGAACAAAGGAAGTATATGTTTTTCTAAAGAAAGTTAAACTAATCTATTTTCATCAATTTTCTGTATGACCATTCATTGTGGCCTAGTTCCATATATAATACAAATATTTGGCATATCTCTGCCTTTTTGTACAAGGAATATCAATTTAACTTCTTATTAGACAAGTGGTCTGCTCTATTTTTTGTTTTCTTGCTCTTAGTCGTACGTGACTAATATGTTTTATATGTGCTTTGAACGTTTCTTTTGACATAATTTTAAATGGTTTTATTTAATTTGTTTATAACTTTATAAAGCTTATTACACTAGTCTTCAATAAAAAATTAGTTTTTATATGATGAACACAAGTGAAAAAGAGAAGAAGTCGAACAAATGTTTCCGTCCAAAATCTTAAATCATAAACTATGATATATTTCACTTAAAATCTATTTTATTGAAATTAATTTATATAATTACAAAATATTAATTATTTTCATATCAAATCATTCATGTAATGATATATTGATATTACAAATTTTAGTAAAATAATTATATCAAATGTTAAGTTTATTTAATTACAATTAATTACAAAAAATTTAAGTATATCAAAAGATTACTCTATAATGATAAAAAAAATTATTTTAAAAATTACTTGCACATATTTCATCATGGACAAAAAAGGCTAACACAAACAAATATACAACCGCCCGCGCCACCCCCCACCCCCACACACACATACACACATATATATATATATATATATATATCTACTAATATCATTTTTAAAATTTATTTAACATGTTTGATCTAATTGTTTAACCTTGAATTTTGTCACCGTAAAATTTCGAGAATTACCTAGTTTTTGGATAACCATATCATTTCGAAACAGAATACCGTATAATTGCTAAGTGACAATCAAAGCCGTAATATTCAAATTCGTCCTAACCCTGAAAAGTATTTTCATTCATTTACTTTGAAATCGTTTAAACAAATATTATGATAGTCTGTCTAAACCAAAACTCTTAAAAGATTTTTTTTTCTGGACAAACAAACTCCAAAAGACTAAGCCTGACTTTCTTGAGAAGGGAATTAGCGCGCAACGATAGTGACATCATAATTTTAACTATTATTCATAACAATTGCTTCCGTAAAACAAAACATTCAACTTTTAATAACTAGGACTATATATTTATCCGTTGCGAAATTTACTAAATTTTGGATTTTAGTCTGGACTCTGGAGTGATTTTGATAACGGAAAGAATAAAACATAAGAGCCAAAGTAAAGCTTATGTCCTTCGAGAAATTAATGGGGCACAGAATCCGATCAAACGTCAATAACTAAGCCAAAAATCAAGCTTCGTTGCTCTCTAGTTTCAATGTTCCTTTAATTAACTAAACAGAAAAAGGTTTAGTTCCCAATATAGCAATTCATGGATCAGCTAATAGTTTAATACTACTACTACTGTACTACTGTTAATTGATGACAATCCTTTGGGTGAGCCTAGGGGTTTAGAAAAAACACCAATTTTCGGAAGTATAAATGTAGCTCGTTGAGGGACAAAAAATAACTCGTTCAGAAAACGAAATTAAATATTGCTAGGTTTGGAATATAGGAGTTATTGAACTCAATTGCTTGTACTATTAACTAAAAATAAAAAGAAATTTAGTGTATCCTAGGAGTTTTACAAACCTAACTCAAATTTAGAAATGGACCTCGTTCAAAATTTATACAAGTATAGCTAGGGTTGTTATATTGTTTTTAATTAAAAGTGCTTTTTAAATAGATTCTTAATACCTTGTTTAACTCACATGCAGCAAAACGTCTAAAAACTGCAAGCATACTGTACAAGCTTTACTCTCCAATATTTATATTTATATCTTATAAGAAAAATATTACTGTACTATAATCAACGCATGAAATCTCATTTATTTTAATTTGCAGATATACACAGTCTTACAATTTATTATTCTTTTTATTTCAAGCATTTAAGATTTGTCGAGATGTATGTATTGATGGTCATGTGAGGAGAGAATAGTTAATTGTTTTCTTAGAAGACAATTCAAAGAAAAATATATAAGAGATATTAAAATGAGAAGGAATATTTGGGAGAATGAAAAGGGAATTAGAAGCAAATATTTAGGTTCTTTAGGGTTCACTTGTTTTTGTTTACTCAGGGAAACAAACAAAACCTACTTTCTGGCTGAATATTTTCTTAGGTCTAATATATATTTTAACTTCACGTATATTCGAAAAACATGCATGTTACGTTACAATAATTGATCGAATTCTTTATTTGACACTTGGTTATATGTACATACATACGGAGAGCTTTGTATTGTACACACGAATGCGTATATGTAGCTATGCTATGCGTATCATGGCATGTATATATATGTATGCATTTGAAGATAAAGGTACTTTGTAAGACAATACCTTTTTTTTTCTACCTTTGGGATGCATTCCAAATTAAAAGTGGGATAAAATAATAAAAGATTATTAGACGAACCAAAGGTATCCAATATTTAAATATTACTCCTTCCGTTTCATAATATAAGGTGTTTTGGATAAAAAAATTTGTTTCACAATATAAGTCGTTTTCGAGTTTCAATGCAAATTATATATTACTTTAATATTTTATGATTATTTTTATTATGCAGTCTCTTTTATGATTGGTTGAACTTTTAAAAAGTAAATCTTCTTAATCGGCGTGCTTTTACCTAAAACGACTTATATTATGAAACGGAGTGAGTATAAGACTTTATACATTTTTCATAATTTTAAATGTTCTTTTTCTATTAAAATTGATAAAATAGTAGATAGAGTCAACTCCATAGAATTTTGTAAAATTATGAACGAAAATGTGAAAATGCCGTGTACAAAGAAGATAAACATTAAACAATCTACGTAAATTTTATTTGAAAATACGTATTTTAAAGCGACATAGTACTTTGATTTGGCTCTAATTAATAGACAACACAAATCGGTCAAACAAGTAACCGGTGGATATAATAGTCACATCTCTACGAACTAAATGTCTATACGAGCTATTCATAAACTCAAGAACGTACTGATATTTAATGTATATTTATCTCTTTAGGTATAGTTGAACAATCTACGGTCAGAAACTTGAATTTGTTTGATTCCAAAATCGTATAAGAAATTATTATAATAAAGAAAAGATGTGAATAGAGTGAAGTGAGAAGCGAAGAGAGTGGGGGAGAAAATAAAAAAGGAGTCAGAGAGGAGACAGTCTCTTTCTCTCTCTCAACATATGTATCCCGTCGTCTCCGGGGTACCAAAATCAAAGCACTCAATTTTTTTATTTCAAAACTTTTTATTTATTTATTTTAGTTATACAGGTCTTGTGTTTGTTTTTTTCTTCTTGTTATTTATTGTTTTATTTATTTATTTAACTTTGGCTTTTGCTTTGACTATATAGATTAGATAGGACAGAAGAGAGCGACCCTTTATTCTCTCTCTCTCCTCTTGTACTCTTCTCCAATATTTTTAATTATTATTCTTCATGATAATCTGTGAACATTATTATTTTATAAATACCAAAGAAGGTTTTGATTTAGTATTCAAATTGCTAAGGTTTTAATGTTTGATCATAATAGTATTAATGTTTGCTCTAAAAAATGTATATTTTTCATCTATGAAAATGGCCGACTATTAATTAATTACAAAATTTATATTTGAAAATTTCATCTACTAAATTGATATAGAAAGTAGAAACCCAAATTTATTTTGTTATTATTCTTCCCTTTTTTTCAGTTTTGTTATTCTTCATTTTTTTATCTATGAAAATTAAACGAATAAATTAAATAATGACTTGGTAATTACTAGAACGAAAACAACTAATTTAACCTTAAAAATATTTTATTTTATATTGGTAGATGAGTTTACTTGGTGAAAGGTGAAAAAGACAAATATATAAATACCATCCCAAAACAAATAAAAAGCTTCCAATATTTGGAATATAGCGAATTACAATATTGCCCTTTCTCAACTATCGTTTTCCAAGATATACTCTCGAGGAACAACATCCCACACATACATACACATACATGTACATGAACACACATATCTCTCTCTTACCTGTTTTTAATTTTCCTGGATTTAGTTTTATTCCTTTTTTCTCTTCTGCCTTTGCTTCACAACACACATACCTCTCTCTCTCTCTCTCTCTCTCTCTCTCTGCGTCTTACTTTGAGCATGTTTGTTTCTTCAAGAAGATCATTACTCAACTTCTCTCTCTCTTCTTCTACTTCTTATAAGCTTCTCTTCAACTTCATCTCTTTCACTTTCTCCTTTCTTTGCGAGATATAGAGAGAGAAAGAGAACAAAAAAAAATCAAATCTTTCAGACACCCTTTTGACTTCTTTGCCCAAAGAATCCCTCTGCTTTCTTTTTCTCTTCTCCTTAGAGAAAATCATTTTAAATTCCGAAGCAAATTAAACCCTCAAGAGAAAAAACAAAAGAATAGTCATCATCATCATCATCAACTTCAGTGGCAGCAATAGCAAGAGAGGTTTCTTTAATTATGTCCATGGAAGGAGTTTTTCTAGAGAAAACCAAATCAAACACAACTACTACTCTCCCTGATCTATCTCTCCACATCAGTCTCCCAGATATTCATCAATACCATCACAATGAATCTTCCAAAGAATCTTCAAGAAGATCGTCCCAACCCGAACACAACAACCGATCATCGAACTTTGAACTCTCTTTATCTCATCATAACCACCCAACCACAAGAATCTTCCATTGTCCTGATCGAAGAACCCTTAATCTTCCTCATCAGCAGCATTACTACAACCCTATCATTAATGGTGGAAGTCTTCATCATCAAAGGGTCGATGAATCCGAGATTAGTGATCTCCACCGTCCAATTAGAGGCATCCCGGTCTATCACAACCGTTCATTCCCTTTCCACCAACAAAACTCTCCTTCTTCTTCTTTACCTTCTCTTGGAGGAGGAGACTTGGATCAAATCTCAATCTTAAACTCATCTTCCGGCTATAACAACGCTTACCGATCATTACAATCTTCCCCGAGGCTCAAAGGTGTTCCTTTGCATCATCATCATCATCATAATCACTATGGATCAGTCGTTGGATCTTCAGATTCGTCTTCTCCTCATCATCACAACCATCATCATCATCATCATGGGATGATCAGATCAAGATTCTTGCCTAAGATGCCGACAAAACGGAGCATGAGAGCTCCAAGGATGCGTTGGACAAGTAGCCTCCACGCGCGGTTTGTTCACGCTGTTGAGCTTCTAGGCGGTCATGAAAGTACATATTTATAAGCACACACATTTATATCATAATCGCATTCTAATGATCCTTCCCTTTTTCTTCAATTTCTTCTCAAAGTTTTTAATCTTTTTTATTCTTCTTGTTGTTGTGATTCTAGGAGCAACTCCAAAGTCGGTTCTTGAGCTCATGGATGTAAAAGACTTAACTTTAGCTCATGTGAAGAGCCATTTGCAGGTAAAATCTACACTCTACTTGAAATTAAATTGAACAAAAGAAAGTAGAATCAATCTTTATTTGTTAATTTTGGTTTATTTTCATCTTCTTAATTTCTTCCCCTCTTAGGAGTCTAGTTGAGTTCGTTCTTTTTTTTTTTTTTTTTGTGCACAAGTTAGTTCTTTTACCAATCAAGATTCTATAAGTAGGGATATTTCATAGTTTTCATCACCATCATATCACTCTCTCTACTCCTTTGCGTTGCACAAAAACAGCTGAATCAAGAAACAAGATTTTTATGTACGTATATATCATCAGGGCAATGAATAGAGCTCCAATTCTAATGTGCTACTTTTATTTTCTTGTTTTGTCTTTGCTTTAAGTTTAGTCATATTTTGGAAGAGATGGCACAATTGCCAAGAATATTGAAGCAGTTGAATGAATTTAAAGAGAGAAAAGAGAGAGTAGTTATAGCTTTAAGTGACTGTAACCTTTCAGAGAATTATTAAACAATTGAGAATTGAGATGATGTTATTTGGATTATCATTCTTTTTTTCTTTTTTAAACTAGGAAGAGGGGACAAAAGTAGTCATCATTACTCAATGATAATAATACAATCTTTCTACGTACTATTACTCAACCTTCTTTCAGACATCAACCTCGTGGTCTTAAATTTATAAATAAATAATTATATATACAGCATCAGTTCCAAGACAAACCCAGAAAACCACACATATGTACTACATATATATATTATTTATTTAATTATATAAAGTTCATATGTGTCTGCATATATGTCTCCAGCTTTGTCATCTGTATCACATTATACAAAAAAAAATAAAATAAAAAAAATTCTATTTAGTTTATAGGATCTTTTGTCCGTTTTATTTTTGTTTTCCTTTGTCTTTAATTAGATTTATGGTTTATTCTTAGTTTTAGAACTCTCATGCCTTTAATTTTATTTGCAGATGTATCGAACTGTTAAGACCACTAACAAGCCTGCTGCTTCATCTGGTACGTGTTATTCTTTTACACATATATGTTATGCAGATTCACATTTCTTTAGTATATATAGCTTTTTCTGCTTTATATATGCCAAAGAGATGGTACTTGTTTATAATAAGAAAGAGATACAATAAAGCTTAGGATTCGCCAACAAAATTTTATCAGAACTGGATGTCCAAAATAATTTTTGAATATAATGTTTATAATGAATTAATCCTCAATCAGAATTTGAATCTGTGAATCGATATTTGTATATTTGTAGAAATAGTTTAACGTAAAATTATATCCGTTATTTTTACTATTTGATTCTACTATTTAGTTCCACTATTTCTACTATTCTCTTTTCCCAAAATAATAAAAAACAAGCCCTAAGATATTGGTCAAGCTCAAGGCTTATCCTCTATTTCATTGAAACCCTAAAGTTGAGTGGTCAAGGTTCAAAGGAAACCAAACAAACATTTCTCCCCAATATTGTTAGTCTCTAAGAAAGCAAAACAAAAAATCAATTAAAGATTACATTATAAACGTGTAATCATATAGAAAAATCACTTCTTTATATTAATATGGATTTTTCTTTACGAAAATACAATTCATTTGTTTAGTTTTTTTATATGGCACAATTTCCTAGTTTTTAAAACTACTTTTTGGGACATATATTAGGTTGGTCAAACGAAATGCTGAAAAACATTTTAAGAAAAACAATTTCTTCACTGCATTGTCTTTTACCAAAAGCTTACAACAATGGCTCAATTTTAAATAAGAACCCTTATAGGGTAAAAAGAATTGAGACGAAAGTAAATAAAAGGTTAAAATATTTTCAGATGGGTCAGGCGAAGAAGAAATGGGCATAAATGGAAACGAAGTTCATCATCATCAATCATCGACGGATCAAAGGGCACAATCTGATGATACTTCTCTTCATCAAGAAATTGACATTTCTTCCACACAACCTCGTTGGAGTAACTCTTCACGGTACGTTTACGTATTATAACCTTATCATATATACGTACATGTATTAGTACACACACGATATGTATATTATAAACATTAGGTAAGATTGACGAACTTTGATATATGGTATGAGATTAATTAGGGTTCTCTCACCTAATTGTTCCTACTTCCTACCAAGTTCATATAACAATTTTTTGGTTCATCCCATATATCTATTTTCTTCTAACAAAAAAATAGTCTTTTTAGATGATATTTTAAGTTTGTTTTCGTTCAGTTTAAGGGAACAAATTAGAGTGGAAGTTTTGGTTACAATGAGATGAAATTGTTTAGGATTTAGATGATTTAAATATGTGTACCAAGTTTTTAATTATCATTTGGTTTGGGTTTTTAAGGTTCATCTAGAATAATCGAATTTTGTTCATATGCATGACATGTAGATTGTGGATCAAATAGTAACATGCAAAAATCGCCATTTGTATATCTAGTGATTTTCCCTAGCTTTTTTGGGCATTTGGATTTCAAAAAATACAACTATTATCAATTGTTACGGACGACGATTTAGTTAGCAAAATACCTGATAAAAAAAAAATCTATACATCAATAAATACATTTTTTCCTAATTAGTTTTCTTTCTTTTCTTAAATCATATAATAGAGAGACATGGCCATCAAGTAATAACTGCTCAAGCGACATAGATACAATGATCAGAACTTCATCAACATCGATGATCTCTCACTATCAAAGATCCAGCCTTCAAAATCAGGTACTAATAATTCTCATATACAGTAACCATATTTAGATAGATATATTAATTCTGTCTAAGTTTTTTGTTTCTTTAATCTAATTAACGCTAACTTAGCAGGAGCAAAGGTCGAATGATCAAGCAAAGAGGTGTGGAGATCTTAGTTGTAACAATCCAAGTTTGGAGTTTACATTAGGCAGACCAGATTGGCACGAGAAATGACTTTCTTGATCGATTTGGTTTTTAATATTTATATTGGCTTTTTTTGTTCTCTCTCTCCCTCTCTTTATATATATATATATATATATATATATACTCAGAAGCATGTATGCAGTATATATCCATGTGAAGATGAAATTCTCAGCGTAAAAGAAAAAGAACACGTAGAGAGTCAAGCTGTTCAAGAGTGTTGATTTTTGCACAGAGAGAGAGAGAGAGAGAGAGATAATCACTACCACAAGGAAGAAATTTGGAGGTTCTTCTTCTCAAGTTCCATTGATGATTTGATTATAAAGTGGATGATCAATGTATGAGTTTTTGTTTTGGGGGTTTTTTGTTTTCTGAGGTTGATCTGGTGTGATCATAAGTTATATAAGATCATCAAAATTTGGTGAAAGTTTGGATTTTTTTTGAAAGCCTCTTGGTGGGCTAGAGGGTTTCAAGTGTCTGTTGGTTTTTGGCAGCTGGAAATGTAGAGAGAGCGAGAGATCTGAATTGAGATTTCATATGTATACTGATCATTCTTAAGTACATAAAACACAAATGTATGCATACACAAATCCAAAAATCCGCAGACATTGATCACCAAATGTTTCAAGATGCATTTTGAAAGATTCTTATCGTTTTCTGCTTCTTCACACCAAAATCCTTAGATCATATATATATATATCAAGCTTCCATTAACAACAAACTTAGACCAAAACCCGGGTTTTATCTACAAACTCGGTAGAGACGGATTCTCAGTTGGATGATTCGATGTTTACCTCCCGGTCTTGGTGTTGATGACGACTGAAAGTGTTACCTGAAATGGCTGATCCCACCACTGAAACCGATTGTTTCGCCAACCGTAGGCTTCCTCTTGTTCCCAACCACACAACATAGAAAAACCCAATCCAACCTGATCCAATACCAAATTCATTTCGTTCTTCAATACACAAAGGAAGTAACTTGGAGTGTCATTTCAAAACAGAATCAGAGCAGAGTATAACCAACCTGAAGCTATTAAGACAGAAACGACAGCAGAAATTGTAGCGGTAGAGATGACAAATGCAGCAACGGATAAAGCTCCAATGTAAACACCAGTCAAGCAGAGAAAGAAGAGTGCCAAGAAGCCACCAGCAACAGCAAGTGAAATAAGAAGAGAAATGATGATAGCATTAGCTGTTGCAGCTACAAAGAAGAGTGTGAATACCACCAAAGCCATTGTTGTAAGAAGAACTATTGTTCCCATCTGCAACAACAATAACAAGATAATCACTAATCAATATAGTATGAGATACCCACGAAATTTGACTCAAATGGGTTCAATAAAGCACTAAACTTTTCATCAATGGTAAAGAGACACAGAACCAAGACGATTTAGGACACAAAATGTTAATTTACTTCAGGAAATCGAATTGAAGATAAAGGAAGGCTAAATTGAAGAAATTGTAGTCTCTAATTAGGTTCAATCATTGAAATCAAAATCCACTTACAGTGATTACAAGCAGAGCACGAAGGGAGCTGCCTCTACGAGTCCAGAGGAGAATCTCGCGTCCTGTTCTTTCAGAAGCTTCTCGAAGCTTGGGCCCATTTTCGGCGACGGAGTTTCTTACACGTTCAAGAAACGAAGACGACGCATCACCGGTTTTCGAATCTGGGAACAGAATCGAACCGATCGTGAGGCAAATTAAGGAATAGAGACTCTTCAAATCCTCATCCTTCTCCACAGAGTCAGGTTTACGATAACCATTCTTCGTTCCTCCGTTGACAATTTCACCGACATCATCGCCAGCGACAACGTCGGCGTAGGTTTTATTCTCCGTCTCGTCGTGATCTTGCGTCATTCTTGGAAATTAGAAACTAACCCACCAGTTGTTTCGATCGGATTTAGGAAGTAATAAGAGTAAGGAATAAAACTTGAGAGATATTTTAATAGATAGATAATATAATGGCGGACAAAACAGCTGTTTAGTTTTTGTTGAAGGAGAAATCGGGGACATGTGTAGCACCGACGTGGCTTTAAACCCCCGTTAACCGGAGTAGATAGATACAACGAGCGTGTGTAATCAACGCGCTACACATGCGAGTGGTTTATTGCTTTTCTTCTTCTTCTCATCATGTTTTTTTTATTGGGCCTTGTTAGGCTTTTTGAAAGGCCCGTTATATCAATATATTTTTTTATTTATCAAAACCTGCTAAACAACCCTCAGATTAATCAAATTTTGCATAATATTCCTCAAATTTATACAAAATAAACATCCAACTAACTATAATTTTGTGATATATTTTCACACAACAATGTTCTTGAAATTCAGAATTCACAAAACCTGCATAACAATGGTGTCTTTAGCAGAGGTTGTTTCAGCGAGTGTTGTGGGTGTTGCTTCTACGAAAAAGGAGACTAGGAGATTCCTGAGCTGTGTGGTGATGGCAGTCTCTTGTTGTAGAGATGATGAAGAAGGAGAAGGTGCATCATTGTTGTTGTAAGTGAAGACTAGATTAGGTCCTTGTATAGTTTCGACATTCTTGTCCTTGTCTCAGTAGCCATTGATGAAGAGATACACAGGCTTGTTTATTTATACAGCAAGTAATTTGACAAATACATACGAAAACCTTCTAAGGAAAAGGAAATCTCAACACTTTCCTTTTTCCTTGAATCCATATAGATTAGGATAAATGTTTTTTTCCTTTGTCTCTCGGCATTAATTTTCAATTGATTCGCCAATAGAAAATTACAACAAAAGGCGAATCAGATCAGAAGTTAATTTCTCATCTCTGTACATAAATGTTTACGAGATAAAACAAAACAAATGTTAAATGTTGTTCAAGACAGACAAAACAAACTGGTTTCAGTGTTGTGCATCAACAATGGTGTCTTTAGCAGAGGTTGTTTCAGAGACAGAAGAAGGGAGTGTTGTGGGTGTTGCTTCCACTGAAGAAGAGACTAGGAGATTCCTGAGCTGTGTGGTGATGGCAGTCTCTTGATGCAAAGATGATGAAGGAGAAGGAGATGCATCATTGTTGTTGTAAGTGAAGACTCGCATCGGGTGATCAAATTTACAGCTTGGACCAAACTTGCAGATCCCATACCGCGAATAGAACACGCACAGTGGCTCTCCCTGTTCCAAACCATCAACAACAATTTAACAAACCAGATAACTGACTGCCCACCTCTACTCTAGATGAGACTTTAGAGAATTTGAAGTCTTTTATTAACTTACCTGGCGTAAAGGGAGGCCAACAGAGCTTAAGGCACAATCAGGAGCAGGGGTTTGTCTGTCTCTAGGATGATGAAATTTGCAGACTGTTCCAAATTTGCAATCTCCTGTCTTCATGTAGAATTGGCATTCAGGTTGGCCTGGTCTTTCCGGGAATACATTCTCTCTAGGTAATGCATAGAACCCGAGCGGAACAGAGTTTCCTGAATGAAACCCGGATGAGAAGAGACCTCCTTGAGATCCTGAAGACTCTTTAGCGTCATTATGCTGTTGATTTCTGTAGTTCTGGTCACTTCCCGAGGGAGAAAGTGAACCGAGCTGACCATGAGAAAAAACAAGGCCCCAACCAAAATCAAAATTAAATCATAAAAAAGTTCATAATCTGATGGATAATTGAGGAAGAGGCTTACGCCGTAAGCATTCCACCCCTGAACGGATACAACACCACCTTGAGGCAGAATCAAAGAGGCGAAACTAGAAGGATCTTGCCAACGAGGAGGGTTTGCAACAAAAGATGTTCTCGGCCAAGAATAAGACTGTTGACCATCAGTTGGAGGTTGAAGAGCAGAGTAAACCGGAGAGCCACGAAGAGAAACCATCAAGTTGGTTGATTGAGTCTGAGGGTGATTGAATTTACAAGTCCCCCCAAATTTGCAGTGTCCAGTTCTCAAAAAGTAAGAGCAATCATCTTCGTTCTGCAAACAGACTCATGAGAAAGGCAAAATTTTACAAAGCAGTGATGAAGTTATAAAGAGTTAAAAAGGTACATACCGGACGTAGAGGATAGCCTAAGACATTAACTGATACTCTTCCATCATTCCCAGCTTTGTTCCTAGGATGATGAAACTTGCAAGTCACTCCGAATTTGCAGGTTCCTGTCTTCAGGTAAAACTGCACAGACACAACAACAAAAAGAAGTTTTGAGACAATGTGACAACAAGAAGACATAATTATGATTATAATAGAAGAAGCCTAATTCTGTTAATTCTGTTAGTAATTCGAAACAGAGTTACCTCACATTCAGGCTGACCAATTCTTTCAGGGTATTCTCCTTTAATCCTTGCTGTTGCTATAACCTAGAAATTGGATATGAGACTATTCATCAACTTGTAATCACACACGTCACACCCTCAAAGCTACAAACTTTGAGCCAACAAGAAACAGAGGAAAGCACAAACACAGAAACAGAATCAGTACCAGTTTCCGGTCGTGGGGATGATTGAATCGACAAGTAAAACCAAACCTACAAAGTCCAGTCCTTATGTAATAAGCACAATCTGGCTCTCCGTGACGTTCCGGATAAGACCCATCAAGACCCATTGCATCATCTGATCCCAAGTTCATTCGCCACATTGCATCTAAATTCACAAACCCAACCAAACCCACAACAAAAACTCAAGCTGAGATTTTTAAAGATTGAATCAGAAGATGAGACAGAGAGGGAAATAAAAGGATGGTACTTTGGTTAAGCAACGGGGAAAGAGAAGTGCTTTCCCGAGAAATGGGAACACTGGAATCAAAATCCATGGAGATGATGACGAACAATGGCTGCGTCCGTGAGTATTAAGCATTAAGACACGCCATAATTCTTCTCACTCTAGAGATTTTCCGACGGGAAATCCCATCGTTTCTCTTTCTCCCACGAATCGTCTTCCTCCGATTGTGGAGAGTTTAGAGGTAATGACAATGGAGGAAGACATAGAGAAACACGTCTAGAGAGAGAAAGCAGAAGAAAGTATAGCGTTCTCTTCTCTCCTCCACACAAACGAAAAAAAGAATAAGAGAGATTCGGGAAAAGAAATCGAATACGAAAAGACTAAATTACCCCGTAAATCTTCCCACCAAAATAGACGGTTGAGGATGAGGAATAATTTATTTATTTCATGAATTTCTTTTGGAGTAAAGTTAAACAACTTTGCCAATTTTGAATTGATTAATCTAGAATCAATTCTGTAACCCTTTTTTTTTTTTAAAGGTCCATTCTCTAACCTGAATTGTGAAATAGTCTTATTACGACAGTTTTTTACTTGACAAAAAATATTCTGGGGTTATAATTTGTAGTGTATTCCACACATAGTCCGAACACGATGTCCTTTCATTTGCAGAATTTTTACTTTTTCTAGTTTCTTGATACGTGTATCATATGTGAACAAAATATTAAATTATGTATATTACGGAATACATAAAATAGGTTAATTAGTTCAATAGGGTTTTCCATATCTTGAATACACTTCAAAATCTCCTTTATAGGAAAAAAACATAATTTGTTTTTTTCTCGGAAGTGTAAAAGAGATAACAAAAGAAAGAAGAAGAAAAAACTTGTGAAAGATGACCGAAGGTAACAGAGAGAGACATTGATAATATATAATCTAATTTATTAATTTAATCAATGAATAAACTCCAGTGCTGCGTAGTAAGCGACGAGCACAGGCAGAGAAACCAACATCCCGAATATCACCCTACATTTATCAAAAATTTTATTATCACATATAACCATTTAAAAAAAAAATAGACTGAAAACTTTTATATTCATTCTTAATTTGGACTTACGCTGTGCTTAGAACATCTGCATGTAATCCATATTCCTTAGCAAAAATGAACGAAGTGATCGATTGTGGCAAAGCAGCCTGTAATTAAATTTCATAAATATTAATGATCATTGAACTAAAAATTTAAAGTTTGTATCTATTGGATGAATGAAAGGAAATGATCTACTTTTTTTTGTAGTTTTTTTAATGGTGGGTATACAAACTTCAACAGAACTAGGATACAAAAGATAAAGTAGAATTGATGACCTGGATGATGGCAACGCGGAGGACATCGCCGTGGAGGCCAAGGGCAATAGAACCGATGGCCATGGCGGCGGGTCCGGCGATAAACTTCAAGACCATTCCCATCACAGTCAAGCTTGTTCCACATACTATCAACTTCTCTTGAAGTGCCATGAATATCCCTGCGTATATATGCATGTACTCACTCTTGTCTCAATACTGATACGTAATCTTTACGTATATATAGATACTTGCATGGACATAAATAAACGTACCCATATTGAACATGGCGGTTCCTGTTCCTGCTTTTGACATTATAAGAATCGATCCCTCTAATATGCCCGGCATCTCCAGATGCCATCTATTTTTCCATCAATCAATAGATTTTAGTCATGTTGATCATAGCTTATTTATACTGGTACGTTTTAATAATCAAAACCCTAAATCAGTTTGTTTTAAAAGCTGGTTTAAGACAAGAGTATATGAAAAAATAATCAAAACCCTAAACCCCAAATTCGCACTTAAAGATTCATTTTTACGTACCTGTTAGAAATAAGAGCCCATGCGATCCCAAGGATGCAAGAATAGCAATTTGGATTTGTTGCAAGCTTCAACCAAACGAGGGACATGACCTCAAGGAACGACTTCTCCTCTCCCACAACCACAATTTCTCTTTTTCCGTTTTCGATATTGATGCTGTCTACCTTTACGTCGCTGCTATAATTACTACTCGATCCAGCTTTTCTAAGCTCTAAGACAAACAACAAGAGTGTGAGCCACACGATGGCTTGAAATACCGAGGATTGAACCACGAGATCGACAGCCTGTTGTCCGTACATTGCCTTAGCCAATGGCACACCAACGACCAGAGAGTTGGTAAGAGTGCATAGAGAGAAACTAGTAATGGACCAACAATAGCTTCCTTTGTTGCTATATTTGGCCCAAAACGCTAAGACCGTGACTATGATGACCTTAGAGAGGACATCGGCAGCGATGAACCGGTAATTCATGTTGAATGGGTCGACATGGGCCGTGAACTCGATTGTGAAGAGCGGAAGGGTGAAATAGCAAACGAGCCGGTTTATAGCATCGCATTGATCACGAGTGAAGATGTTCCACCATTTCACAGAACCATAGCCTAAGATTAAGGCTACATATAGTGGAACCATTGCTTCGATTACCTTGTAAACATCTCCACAACTTATCATGGTTTTATTAGAAAAAGAAATGTTAATAGTTATAATAGAACTTAGTAGCTAGCAAACGAAAGGAAAAAAATGAAGCTTGTTAAGCTCTCCTTCGTAGATAGTAAATGTGTTAATACAGAGAAACCAACATGTTCATATTTATAGATACATTTTAAATTGTTTTATTTGTTGGAGAAAAAAAGATAGGTAGAAATATATGAGATATTCATGTGTAATATTCAAACAAAAGCAAAATTTAGGTTTAAACAATAGTATTTTTTTCTAAATGATATGTTACAGCCTTACAGGTATTTATAAATAATAAGGCTAAATTCCTATAGAATAGATGCAAGCATTTAAATTTGAGTATCTATATATTTAGATAAAAAGTTAAAATACAACCTCATATTTTTAGCCATTAGTTTAATTGAGAAATAAGAGAATTATCACTATCAATATAATTGACCAGACCGTGCCGTGGCATATGATTCTATTCCAACTGTTTCCTCTAAATATTGAGTGTAGTATTTGTGTATGACGTATAAGCATTTTCAATATTTGACTATACATTTATAAATATAAAAATAATTAATGGTAGTGTCGCAGAACAAAGAATGAGGATGCAGCTTTAGCACCATAACTATATAATCGTCTCTACCAATATATGTTTTTGGCTGTAACTCACAGCCACAACACATATATGAGCATAGACTTACCAACCATTTCACAAAATATATATATATACATACTAGATTAACCAAATAATACTTTTCCAATAACTTATTCGAATTTTCTTAATATATATATATATATATATATATATATATATATATATATATATATATGTATGTATTTATATATATTTCTTAATCTTCATCTTATATTAATTAACCACATTCATAAAATGGGAGCAGAGTAGCTAGTGCATGTAATATAAGTAAAGTGCATGGAATAATTTGTATATATGCCGAAATGAGTATTTGAGCCATACGCACCTGGCGATAGCAACCAATTTCATAACCGACAAAAATGAATTTCACTTACTTACCTAGTAATGATTTGAAGTTTCAATATTCATGGTTTAACAAAACATGATGGTTCTTGGAACATGTTAATAAATAGATAGATGGAGATCGAGTAAAGATAACTACTTTATATAATCCTTTCTTCGTCACAAATAACTTACTTTTATCTTAAACCATGTTTTTGTTGATTTTATGTTGTCCTGGTGGAAAAAATCATATCACCATGTCTGTTTCTTTATGTGAAAATCAAAACACCAGAGCTAGCTAGCCGAAAAACTATCATCATCATGAGGATTGAGGAAGCCATTCAAGAATTACGGAGATAATTGTACATCGTGCTTATGTCTTCTTTGCTAGACAGGAGAAATTTTTTATTTGCGTTCTGATCAACTCTTATACAATCACAAGAACACATATTGCTTTGCACAAAGAAAAAAAGAACACATATTACTAGGTGCAACATCATCATATTACCACTTTTTAATTCTATGATATATATTTGTTTTGTAACATATTCACCATTCACAAAGTTTTTTCTGTTACATATATTCATGATGAAAATTTATTTGACCTAATTACTAGAGAATCACGCAGAGGCATAACATGATCTGGAAAGCATATAATTAATATGTGATTTGATAATAACATTTCACGGAAATACCTGTCTTTACCAAAGATTTGGAACAAACAAACAAAAAAAATAAACAAAAATTAAAATCGGTGGATTAGAAATATGTGAAAACGTGGAGGATGCTTCTTCACTGGTGAAATTGAGGGATCATATATAAATATGAATAATAATGCTAGTAGAATAAGTTCTATTTATCACTTGATGACTACAACAAATTTAGCTATAATATGCTTTAAAACTTTTCTTCTGATGTGTTGATAATACAGTCGTGTTAATATCAAAAAGGTTTTTTTTTTTTTTTCTCTCATTCATTCATTCTTCATTCATCGTCCTTATTTTCATTATTCTTCTTCAATTATGTCAGAAATAGCTTGCACGATTTGAAAGTTTATTCCAAAGCCATCTTAATTGTTTGGACTTTTGACGTCAAATGTCTTTTTCGCAAACCACATAAATTTTATATTTGTTAAAACACTATATGTTGGGGGTTTATATTGTTCTTCCTAAATTAGAGGTCGAATTCAAGAGTAAATGAATCCAAGTACTTACTTTGGAGACTACAGGTGTAATAGGAGCAGTTACATATTATATACTATATAAAAATGTAATCATATGTTGTTAGATGTTACAAATCAAATCATAAGAAACAAAGTTAGAGGAAAGAATGTTTTAGTTTTGGTCGAAAAGATGTTCACCAATCACCATCAATCATTGAAGAATGAAGTTAAATAGTAGCTAAATAAAACGGATACATACTACAAAAATATCAGTATTACAAGAATTTTTAAATACAATTATATCAATATCCACCCACTAATCTTTCTTTCAAATTCCGTATTAAAAAAAAAACACAGAAACCAAGTGTTCTTGGTCTAGTGGTTGCCACTTGTAGAGGAGTTGCCCTGTTGGTCTAAGCCAGGGATTGATTCCCCGCAAACGCGCAATTGTTAGATCTCCACTTGGCCACATGGATATGAGCTCTTGCTTTCGGCCCATTTGCATACCCGGAGAAAGAGTCTATCTGTGGGCTGCACCTCTTCGAGGGGATTAGTCTGGGCCCCTCCATAGGTCTGGAATTCCCCTGAGTTAAAAAAAAAAAAAAAAAAAAAACAAACAGAACAATTTTTCTTAAAGGCATAATTGTTCTTTAGACTTATGAAAAGAGGAAACTCGATCCTCCTAGTGCAGGTGGAATAAATCCTCTGTTTGAAACGACTTCACTACTGTATTATTATTATTATTTTTCTTCTTAATTTATTTGTGGCTCGCAATAATCTGTTCCTTCGTTGCTTCGTCACTCAATATATGCTACAGCACCTACTTGTTGTACTCTTCTGCTTCACATCTCGTGTTTTTATTCTGGAAACATTCGTATTTTCAGAGAAGAGAAAGATGAAATAACAAGTTTTTAACCATGGAGAATGGAGAATGATTTACTTTTAGCATAAATTCTTCAGACGTATTAGCTGCATCACCACTCTTTGATGTGAACACAACTATACAAGTCTTAAGGTACACGCAAAATGTTATTCATTAATTCTAGTAAAATTACTATATACTTTAGAACTTGAAGGGTACACCATATCAACAGCTAAGGGCATCATCAATGGGGGATCATGTGAGGGTGTTCTTATAGAGAATATAATGTTAAAATAATGTAAGATCATGTGTTTAGATCTTTTGTTTAGAAGTTGATTAGTGGGAGAACATGTGTAAGATCTTAAGACTTAATAATATAATAATCTAAATTAAATTAAGATTTTACAATTATTAAAACATTTAAAAATAACATATAAATTGCATATGCCAAATTTATGAAAAACTGAAAATAAAAGTGAAAATACAATACTAAATATTTATGAAAAAAACATTAAAAATATAAATAACAATAAACAAACAAACATATTACTTAATAAAAGCACAAAAACATTTTATCTAATTAATACATAGTTTATTATCCAAATTTATTCCAAATATGTTGAATATTCCAACCAATGCCCAAATGCCACGTCACCCCGCAACACCCACAAGAACAGATCCAGGTCAAGAGCCTAGTTCCTGATCTTAAGCCCATTGACCCATTTTTTTAGATTTAAATAATGCTTAGATCAGGGGGGTGATCCCCCAATGCAGATGGTCTAAAGCGATAAAGATCAGGATCAGTATTTTTTAATGATCAACCTATTTCCAAGAATAAGGGGACTTGAGACAAGTTATGTGAACACTTCATATGTAATCATTGAAAAAATAAAATTAAAAGTAAAAACAGTGAAATAGGGAAAGCTCTCTTGTAGTTGAAAATTTGATTTTGACGGTTTGTTTGGTCTGGCGGGAAATTTTGATATATAAACCGAACCGGATAACATGAACCAGCCGGTTTTTAAATTTTGCTGGTTCTTGACCTTGACGAAGTCACTAACTTAACAGGCTGGTTCTGCTTCGTGGTCTGGTTCTTTAAAGCTGGACCAAATAATAATAAAAAAAAAACAATTAAAACTGAAATTCCTTTCTTGCCCCTTTTGTTCTTCTTCTCTCTCCTTGACTCTCTCTTCGTCTTCTTCGTTTCTTCGTTTCTTCGTTTCGAAGCTCTCTGTGATGGCGTGCCCTAGAAACTCCATAACATACAACGCCACGCGCTGCGCGTGCGGTATCGGTCAGCTGCTAAACCGGAGTTCCGGGAGCTGCGAGATCTTCGGTTGGCCGTCGACGATCTCAACGGACAAAGATGTTAACTACAGCGTAATATCATTCGCCGATAATTTATTCGCTTTCGATAGGATCCGTAAGTTCACGCAATCTCAAGCTGTTTTCTTAGAAGCCACGCTCGTGATGCTTCTCTCCTGGTTAGTCTTTTGCTTCTTCCTGAGATTCACCAAACTCGGCGATGGTCGTAATGTCTGGTTCAATCTCCGTTGGTGGATTACTCGCCTTGACGTCTTCTTCTCCACTAGACATTGGCTCGTTAGTGCCTTCTCTTCTCTCATCGCTTTTGTCTCCATGAATTGGTTCTTTTGAGTACCAATTAGGTTCTTGAATCTTGTAGGATGATCAACAAATTGTCAAGAAACGTAAAACAGAACTTGGTGGAACATTATCTGTTGCAAGCTGGATTGTTTTCATTGGATTATTCGCTGCGTGAGTTTGAAAATTTAGTGTTCTTGTTTGGTTTTTGTTTATGTAGAAAGTAGAAACTGACTTGCTTTTCAGTTTCTTCACAGGCTGCTTTATCAAATCATAACCAAGAGAACAATTGAAGTTCACAATGTGAGAGCTACTGGTTCTCCGGATTTGATCTCATTCGAGAACGATTTGGAGTTTAACATTACTGCTGTTTCTGATATGAGTTGCTCTAATTTACGCGGTATTGGGAATGTGGTCACTGGTAATCCCGGTTTCAGCGAGTTCAAAGTTGCTGCTCTTTCCAGTTTAGGAAGCTATGCTTGTAAGAATACAACTTCAGGGCCAACTGTGAATTTCAAGTGTACCAAATGTCGTCTCACCAGCGATTATATCTATATCTCGTGGCATTTCGTTGATCTTCCTGATTCGCCTGCCGCTGCTGTTGGATTTCAGTTTAACTTTACGTCTAAGAATGGAGATAACAAGAAGCATATGAGTTTTGTTAGTGGCACTCTGAGAAACGGAAGCATCCTTGATGAAAGTCCGGTTACTTTCCGTGGAACCGAAGGGAACATATTGAAGTTTAATCTGTTTCCTCGGATTTACCATCATTTGCATGATCTTAAGCTAATCCAACCTCTGTTTCACGAGTTTATCCCTGGCTCAGTTTACCGAGACACTACTCTGCTTCAGGCATCTATGGGAAGGTCAACAGATGGCATACTCAACACCACGTTGTTCATCAACTATCTGTCTGCTTATATTGTTGAGATCGACCATGAAAATATACTCGGTCCTGGTAAGTAAATTTACACCTTTTACTTTGTCAATCACTCAAGTCTTAGTAGTTAATTCTTATCATTGCACCGCGAAATGCAGGCCTGTGCATCGTTCCAGTATCTTGATTTAGTATGTGCAAGTAGAGAATGCTAGAGCAGCTTCAGTTATAACTTAAGCATCTTTTCCTTTTCTGATTGCTGTTTTACAGTTAGCTTCCTAGCCGATCTTGGTGGTTTGTATTGCATCAGTATTGGCATATTTTTCTACCTACTAGTGCAGGTTTGAAGCCTTTTCATCTTCTTTACTAAATGTTTACCTTTCTTCTCGTTCAATTTTCATATATTGGTATCCATGATCTATGAATATAAGAACGAGCATTAAGCATAATTAGCCAGTGTGTACTGTATCATTTGAAAATGTTCTTGTCTTTTCTAAGCATATCCTGATGGCTGTAAGTCGGCTCTTTAAATAGTGTGAGTATAGGATCAAGAAGCTGCGAAACGAAGATACCGTTTTCAGGAAGATAAGGAATCGTCGTAAAGCTCTAGATCACTGGGATAAAGTAATTGTTTTCCCCTTTTCTCTTTTTGATTTTTCTTCTTGCTATGGTCTCTTTTCTTATAAGTTGCTCATAGAATACTCCTCATTTAGCTGAGAAGATATGTTGCATACACATGGGATTGCAGCATATTGGTCGATGATGCCATCAAAACGACAAATTTATCAGGAATTTGTTGTTTAACGAGACCCTCAACATCTTCTAATAGCTCGGAACGTGGGCAATCGATCATGTCGAACAAGAAACCTAACTTAAGTATTGAGAAGGTAACTTAACTATCTATTTTTGGGTTCCCCATTCCTTTTTGACCCTTTGAGTTCTTAATTTTCTACTTTTATCCAGAATGTAATTCCACAACCTGCAAGTCTAGAAATGAGCTCTTTTGATTCGGCTTCTTCTCTGGCGCATGGAGATAATTTCTCAAATAAGAAGAGTACGACTCATCAAGTTTCTCATAGTGAAGACGATTCAATCCCTCCACCTCCTCCAATGGGTATGGCTTACTTATACCACTTTTTTTAATAAGTTGGCATTTCACATTGTTCCTATTGATCTATGATTCGGTAGCAGTAGCTGTGTCGTATCGTTTAGGTTTTTAGAAGTAGAAGTGAAAATATAGATGGTATCTAAATTGAGCTTATTTGAGGGGAATCATCGGTTGCAACAAGGGTCTAGAATCTAGAAATTCTTTGCTTTATAATACTAATATGATCTCAAACCTGAAACAACCAACCAGTACTGTTACTATTGCAGAGTTCACTGAAGGGTCTTCTGGTTCAGAAGTGGACGCAATGGACATCAAGAAGAAATTTCAACTTCTTTACGACTACAATGTATTGCTTAGGGAAAAACTTTTAGACATACAGTCTTTGCTTAATGCTTTGGCACCCAAAGCATCATCATCATCTTCAACCGCGGAACACGGTGCCTAGAACATGAGGTTGTCTGACATGTATTGTTTGTATACTCCCTGTATCTTCCACATTTATTGAACAAAAGGAATGACTAATGTTTGTTGTATCTTTGTGAATATACCAAGTTGCTAGTAGTAACACATTTTTGCTTTTGATTCTACAATATTTGAAAGCGAGCAAGAACCAGAAGAAAAAGCTAAGCAATAGATATTAAGATCGTCGAGTCAAAGCAGATGGGTTTTATCAGTCAAGGTTTGCATTATTGAAAGTCTCGAAAACATGCTTATAATTAGAAAAAATAAAGAGAAAATAAACATGAGGATACTAAAAGAAAGTAAACGACTTAGGTAAATCTCTGAGACACGATAATATGCTTAGAAATGATAAAGGAACTTAACCTCGAGAGATTGTTCAACTTCAAGAGCTAGAATTAACAGAATTCCAGAGCTGGATCCACTTAACCATAGCATCAGCAGCTTGCGTGAAGGCAGGATCATCTGAACCCAACTGCTCTTTCACCGCTTTAGCAAGCTCGATCACACAATCTTCAACTTTAAGTGCAGTCTCGGGCAATTTCAATGACTCGAAAAATGGAACACTTTTCTCCATCAGTTTCATTCCTTCCCATTTCTTCCTCAAACTCTCCACTGCATCTCCTCTCTCGTTTCTCCACACATAAGGCAGTCCGGTTTTCACACCATAACCCAAATGATCAGAGATATGTTTCAGACACATCCCACACCAAACATCTTCAAGTGTTTCCCATCTCACTTTCCCTTCTCCAGCCAATCTAAGAGCAGGCACCAAAGCTGGACCCACCAACTCACGGTTAAAAGCGATGTTGATTCCGCTTATGGGTAGCATAGCCTTGGCCGGGACAGTCATAACCGCATCAACATATGAAGTGTTCCTTTGCTCTGTCTTGAGAGCTTGTGTTGGAGCATCAAGATCAGCTAGATTAAGCCAAAGTCCACAAGATGCAGCACAAGGGACACCACTTCTGAGGCTGAAAGGGTATCCACGGACAAAATCCGCTCCCTCGCGATAAGGATCATAAAGGGTGTTGAAGAAGAGAGGCGTGGCAGGGTTCTCGAGGTTGGTCACGTGCTGAGTAACAGCATCCACTAGGAACCCCTTGGGATCTTTAGCAGGGACACAATCATCATCAATTGAGACAATGTACTTCTTTTTAGATATGAGATAACCGAAATATCTGCAAGAATAGCCAGAGAACATGGTGGAATTGGATGCGCCCACAACTTTTTCCATGTCAGTCTTTGAGTAGACATCTACATCAAAGCCTTCTGGTATGTTAAGTTCCTCCTTGAGCTCAGGATCTTTGACAACAATCAGATGGAATCCAGAGAAAAAGGGCCTCCAGCTGGTCAAAAACTGTGTAAGGTCAGCATTAAGAGCCCCAATGACAATGTCGACTTCATTCTTGTTTATCTCGGCCGAAGACATCTTCGATTTTCAACGATCTTCTAAACAGTATGAGAGATAACTTCTAGGCTGATCTTCAAAAGCTTTTTTCTTCTGCAGATACATAAAAACTAAAACTTTGTCAGGAAAACCTCCAAAGAGAATCAGTGTGAACCAATATTTACAAGATCAAATATTGAAACAAATTAAGGGCAAAAGCATCAGCCTTTTTAGATCACATCACTAGTTAATGATTATCAGAGAATCATAATCTAATCCAAACACACGATCTCCATAGCCTCAAAGCCTAATCAAGAGATCTACTTTTTCAGTCAACTGAGATCGCATGAACAGTACGGTCCAAAAAAACTGCTTTAGATTGAGATCAACAACCGGAGGATTAATAAAATAAGAAAGCGATTCAATCTACTGAGATCCTGTTATCAAGAAAAATCACATTTTGTTCAAAAAAAGAAGCAATCGAACAATACCCAAAAAGACTAAACGGATTAGCAGATCAAACAAAGCAATACCCACAAAATTATATAATCATCAATGGACAAGTTTGCGAGAGATTGACCTGATTCAAGCTTTGGAGAGAATCCGAGGTTTTTTCTTCAGAGGGATAAACAAAAATCGTGGGAATGCATTAGATTTATCGCGTTACTGTGGAATTGGTCCAAAAACGTTTCGCGCATTTGCTGCTGCGTCCCGCAATTCCCTCTTTGATCGTGCGTTTAAGTGTCCAAAGACTTCGAATTCTAATCAATCGTTCGAAACCAATCCAAACCGAAGATAACCGATCCGGTCTGAATTTCGATAAGTTTCAGCTTCGTTTATCAAAAGCAGACTGATACTAACCAAGTCAATATCCTTCGGTTCACCACAGAACCAAGCCTAACCCTTTGGTCTAGTTCAATCCAATTACCAGGTTTTTGATAACCGAAAGTGATGTTGTAATTCTGCGATTGTGTCATCAAAACCGAACTTAAGTCTTGGTTGTTGCAATATGACAATTTATAAACTGAATCAAGAACCCAAGAACCAAAAACCAGAAAACACCATGAAACTGAATCAATTTATTCAAAGCCAGGTTAAGTTAAGCCCATCATCTATTTTTTCCATTGAAGACAAGTCTCTACAAAAACAGTGCAATTTAAACATTACAAGTTACATTCGAAACAAGCAAGGTAAAAAGAAACACAGAAGAACCGTCTATCATCAAATGGGTTGTGTGCATTTCTTCTGAGAATGTCCAAGCAAATGACACCTTCCACATTGCACAATCCTCTTTGGTCTCTTCAAATTCTCAACCCGTACCACTTTCTTCTTCGGTCTACCCGGTGGTCTCCTCGTTTTTGGTGGTCGTATCCTCAAGCTCCCAACTCCTCCAACCTCTTCTCCTTCATCCTTCCACAAGCTCCTATCCGGAATCTCCCCAATCATCTGTGAATACGTCTGCTGATAGCTCGATACTGTGAAACACGGTTCTGCAAACAGATGCACATTCCGACCGCACGAGATCAGCGCTGCAGCCGCGTGAGCACACGGCAATCCGTAGATCTGCCAGCGACGGCATGAGCATACCCGTGTCCGTATATCCACTATGTTGGTTCTCTCTGTCGACACAATCTCAAACTCGACCTCGTTTGCTCGTAAAACTTGGTAACACCGTGCGTCTGCAACTGCTTCCGTTATACGTCTCTCTGCAGACGGCACGAGTATTGAGTTCCATCTCATGCTCAACTCACGGCGGTTATCGAACCAAGACGATATTTGATGCCGGATATGTTCCATCATCTGTATGATTGGGAGTTCATGGCATTCGAGAGCCCAATTGTATAATACCTCTGTGATCCCTAATCCGAAATGTCCATACCGCACGCCTTGGAAATATGCTACAGCCCAGAGATGAGGAGGGTAGAGTTCGAACCATGGAACAACATCTTGCGATATCTCAACCATTTCGCTAATTTTCGTTTCGAATTCCGCTGCTGTGAGCGCGTAAACCGCATTCCAGAAGATATTAACAAGCTTTGTGTTCTTGAATGTATCCCGGAAGTTTTCGCTAACATAACGGAGACAAAACCCATGGAAAGCAGTTGGGAAATGAGTTTCCACGGCTTCCACGATTGCGCTCTGTCTCTCAGAGAGTATCGTGAGCCTCGGCATGCTATCGGTATTCATCCCAAGAAGCTTCCTCAGCTCCGAGAGAAACCACGACCAGTTTTCATCGCTTTCATTATCGACAATCGCAATAGCCAAGGGAAACAAACCATCATCCGAATCAACAGCCGCAGCGCAGAGGATTGCACCCAAGTACTTCCCTTTAAGGTGTGCTCTATCCAATTCAAGAAGAGGCCTACAAGAACTAAAAAACCCAGAGATACATGCTCGATACGCAATAAACAACCGTTGGAAACAATTCTCGGGTCCCGAAGCAGAAACAGAAGCAAAACTCCCAGGATTGACTAACTTGATCTGCTCACAATACGCAGGAAGAAACCGGTACCCTTCCTCATAAGTCCCATGAAGTGCAGCCATACTTCGTTCTTTCCCACGCCAAGCCTGCATATAAGAAACCGCAACCCCATGCTCGTCACGTATATCCTGCAATATCTCCTTTGGTTTATACTGCGGATTATCTCTAATCCGTGCCTCTACCGATCTAGCAACCCAACCAACGGATGCTTGCTGATGATGGAGATCACGGACACCTTCACAAGTATGCTCACTGTTAAGCGTCCTAACCGTAAATGTCTGAACACCTGGACATTTAGCAGCATGGATACGCCACGGACAACCTTCTTTAGAGCATTTGGCTATGAATCGACTACGATCTGATTTCACAATACGAAGATCAAAATGCAGAGCGATAGCCAAATCTTTCAAAGTTCTTCTGCAAGTTTCCACATCGGGAAACTCTCTACCGACTGCTAAAACATGTTCTGTTGCTAAAATATCGTCGGAATCTAAAGTAATTAAAGCTCCATCGGCCATTAGGCATTGCATCTGGAAAGGGTTTCTTCGTCTTCTTGATTTTAATACAAAACACTTATCAGCATCTCACAAGAACAGACCTGGTACCTATTTGGAGAGACATAAAGAGGCAAAATCTCAGATCGGAACACTAATTCCATGCTTGGATCATAAGCCAATTAACAAAAAAAAAAGACCATCTTTTAGGAAATTAACAGAGACCCATTTCCAAATCAATAACATTTTCCAAAGATTTCAGACAATGAATTAAAAGGGAAATTAACAGACAGCGAAACCTTTCCGGAAATTGGAAAACTCGCTTGGTTTGTAGATGGAGACAGCAACAGCGATCGAATGAATCACGTTTGTTTCGGAGTGGGTGGCTAAACTCGGCGTCAAGCGACTGTAAATTTGAGCCGCTAGGGTTATCAGCGTCGGGGAGAGAAATTGCAGACGGCGACCAAAAAAAAATGAAAGACGGAAGAGAGATGGGAAAGTGGAAAAGATTAACAGCCACGTGTCGACTTTGAAATGGTTAATTTTCTTTTGTTGTATAGTAAGGATAACATTACATTAATGTTTAAAACTTAGGATAATATATATATATATATATACATTAATGTTTGAAAGGATTCATATCTCTTGTTTCGGTAACATGCATATCTAAAAATCATATGTATGTTTTATTAGAAAGTTAAAAAAGGAAACAAAAAATGTTTTGTTATAAATTTTTGTTTTCATCAATCAAGAAATAAATATGTATCTATACTATTAATTGGGAATCACTAGATAATAAAAAACCTTTAAGTTGTAGAATATTACATAGAATGTCATTGATTTTTTTTTTAATTTGAAGAAAGAAAAAACAATTGAAAAAATCAAAATTAAAATTAATAAATTAATAACTGCCTAATATTTTTGGAGATTGTTTAAAGAAGATTCCATAATAAATCAAGATATTTAATTCAAAAATATATATATGTAAACTTATTTATTTTGGTAATATATTATTAGATATTTCTGGAAACGACAATCTAATTTAATAACAAATTATTATTTAGTTTAGATTTTAAAAGATTTTCGTAACAAAACTATGCTAATTAATTCTGATTAAATCACATGAAAAATAAAAGATTTCAAATTTTATTTTCCAAATATAAAAAAACATTTAGTATATTTATCATATATAATCTAAACTAAATACTTTCATCCTTTTAAATATAGCATATTCAACTAATAAGTTTTGGATTTTAGATATGTAAATATCTAGAAAATATTTGTAGTATACATTAAAATATTTTTAAAAAAAACAGGTAGTTTTCAATATTTTAAATATATATTACTAAACTAAATTTGAGTTATATAAAAGAAAATATATTTTTGAAATGTATTATATTAGTTATTATATCTCCAAATAAGTTAATATATTTCTTACCAAAAAAAAAAAGTTTAATATATTTCAAATCAAATAAATTATTTTATTTCGTAACAAATTGTTACAAGCTTTTGGAATATACATTCTTCTAAATTTGATTATTTTCTTTTTAAAAAAATATTAAAATGTAATTTAAATATCATTATGCATACATCCACGTTGATTATCTCATAGTTAATCTAGAAAATCGATTCTTTAAACAATAGATGGAGATCTAAAAGTAAATTACTTCATGTTCTTATGATGTTTATCTCCTAATTTTACTAACCTCCTATGAATATCTTTATGGTTTTTGGTTTTAGGGTCAACACTAGATCACAAGTCGCTTATTGATCCATTCACAAAGAAAATATATTTCATAAACGTTATCATATATTTAATTTTGTATCTGTTAAACACATTTTAATCTCTCCTTTTTATTGTCTATTGGCCAAAGCAAGAGATTTGATTGTAAGGAATTCAAGACATAAAACTGTCTTCGTATGGATGTTTATCATGTTTGGTGCTTTAAATATTATATTCATTCATTTCCGGTTCTTCTTATTTTCTTATCATGTTTGATTCTAAACACTCTTTATAGAAGTTCTCTTTATTTATGTTCCTCAGTTAAGTATTTAAATTATACGGAATTGAGTTTTCTTTTCCAGGTTCAACATTTGATACAGTACATTATATTTTATATACTACAATATATATCAACAAAACAACAAAATAATCTATATTTACTAAAACTTTATTACAATACATTTCTTAAAATACGAAATCCCGCACGTACGTGCGGGTCATGATCTAGTGTATGTATTATTGTGGCTTAACAAAATTGTTATGGGCTTGTATGAAGAACAGTTGTTGATAAATGATTCAAAGGCCTCAAATGTCCCATCCTTACTTGTAGAGAGTGATGGATATTTTTGATAGAGCAATTTACACTTCTTATTCATGTTTGTAATCTCTATGAAGCGGATAAATCATTCTAACTAACTATACTTCTTTGAAAAAAATAAAAACTTAGAGCAAAGAAATACACATTTTTGATGTATTGGTTATAACTAAAGTTATTGAATATTAGAACAATAATAATGCAAACTCAATTGGACGATAATAAATGATATAACAAACTAAAACTAGAGTTAAAATTAGATCTAAGAAAATGGGGTAATAAGAATGGCTCTCCATGCTTTAGGGATTTGAACAAAGTAGCAAAACAACAAAAAATAGAATTCGTAAAAAAGAAGCAAAACAATTACCCCTTCTTCTCGGATGGATCATCGGAGAAGTTTCATTGTTCTTCATGTATTCTGATTGGCTTCAATTTGATCTCTTTTTCTTTCTCTCTCCTTTCGCTTCCTTCCTCTGTTTTGGCTTCTTTAACAATCTCCCAAAATACTCTTCCCTTTAACGTGGGTCCTTCAATCTTTTGAAGGACCCCGCCATTGTTAATCACCTTTCAAAAAAAAAAGATCCTTTTTTTGTTTTGGTTTTAGGCTTTTAGATTATTGAACAACACGAAATTGATTTTGAATGATAATCATGATGAATTGTTTTCCGTGTTTCACTTCACAAAAGAGCAGAAACCCTCCCTGTACGACGAACGATACTAACGAAAACGTTGAACACGACGAATTCAGACCACCTGGTAATAAAAAAAATTCATAATTTGAGTTCTCCGATTTGCTACAAATTTAGAAAAAAAATAAGATGTTAGCTTTCTTATCCAGCACTGTTGAATTTGAAAACCCATTTTCCAAAAAATGTTGTGGGGTTTGTTTGGTTTCAGTTGCTGCGACGACGAAACGAATTGAAGAAAGAGAAACAGAGCAAACGCCGTTGAAAACATTCAATTTCCGGGAGTTAGCGACGGCAACCAAGAATTTCCGGCAAGAATGTCTTTTAGGAGAAGGTGGATTCGGTAGGGTTTACAAAGGAACTCTTCAATCTACTGGCCAGGTCTGTTACCATTCCAAAAACCATCTCCAAAGTTCAAACCTTCCGATACATTTTTCATAGTAGAATTAGGACATTTATCGGAGATTTTCTTTGAAGTGTTTCTCTTGCTTTGTGAGTGTAGTTGGTAGCTGTAAAGCAGCTGGACAAGCATGGACTACATGGTAACAAAGAGTTTCAAGCTGAAGTCTTGTCATTGGCCAAACTCGAACACCCGAATCTTGTTAAGCTTATAGGATATTGTGCTGATGGCGATCAACGGCTTTTAGTCTTTGAGTATGTCTCTGGAGGTTCCCTTCAAGACCATCTTTACGGTATAATTGACCTTTCAAAACATTTCACTTTGTTAAAGGAGATACCTTTAGGCTTGGTTTAGAGGCTGATAATTGATTTGATATGTAGAACAAAAGCCAGGCCAGAAGCCGATGAATTGGATAACGAGGATGAAGATTGCGTTTGGTGCAGCGCAAGGATTGGATTACTTGCACGATAAAGTTAATCCACCGGTGATATACCGAGATTTGAAAGCTTCTAACATCTTGTTAGATGCTGAGTTTTACCCTAAGCTTTGTGATTTTGGTATGCATAATCTAGAGCCAGGAACATGTGATAGCTTGTTTCTTTCTTCTCGGGTTATGGATACTTATGGTTATTCCGCGCCTGAGTACACTCGAGGGGACGATCTCACTGTCAAGTCAGATGTTTATAGCTTCGGAGTTGTGTTGCTCGAACTCATCACCGGTAGAAGAGCTATTGACACCACTAAGCCTAATGATGAACAAAATCTAGTTGCTTGGGTAAAACTCATTAAACCCCACATCTCTTACTTCTCTATGAATCATCAAGTTGGGATCTTTAGAATGATATGTTTTGGGTTTTGCGCAGGCACAACCGATATTTAGAGAACCGAAAAGATACCCGGATATGGCAGATCCTCTTATGAGGAAAAACTTCTCAGAGAGAGGGTTAAATCAAGCAGTGGCAATAACATCAATGTGTCTACAAGAGGAACCAACTGCTCGTCCTTTAATAAGTGATGTAATGGTTGCTCTTAGCTTCCTTTCAATGTCTACAGAAGACGGTATTCCAACCACAGTTCCAATTTTATCCTTCAGGGACAAAAGCATGTCGATTGCTTTAAGCAGACACGGTTCTTGCTCTGTAACTCCATTTTGTCTTTCTCGGAAAGATGAAGACAAAAAATCCAGTTCTTCATCAGACTCAGAGGATGAAGAAGAAGAAAAAGAAGGAAAAGAAGAAAAAGAAGAAGAAGAATCAATGAGGAGTAAGAAAAAACAAGAGCAGGAAGAAACCGCTACGGATTCAGATGATGGGTCTGATTCAAACTCTGTAAAGGGTCAAGAAGAGGAACATTCTCAGTTAGAGAAAGCCAGAGAGTCTTGCAGCTCCTCCTCTGACTCTGGAAGTGGGAGAAGATCCATTGATGAAACAAACGCAACTGCACAGAGCTTGAAGATAAAGTACAGTTATAGCTCTGAGGAAGAAGATAACGAGAAGCTAAGCAGTAAAAGCAGCTCTACATCAAACGAAGAAAGCACTTTTTCGCGGTATGATAGCGATAGAGATCACGATGATTCATCAAGAAACACAAGCATGCGAATCAATAGTCTTGCTCATGATGATAATGAGGAAGACGAGGAGGAGAATCATGAAACTCGGAGCTATACAGATCACGATGATTCGCCAAGAAACACGAGCATGCGAATCAATAGTCTTGCTCATGATGATGATGAGGAAGACGAGGAGGAGAATCATGAAACTCGGCTTGAACACATTCATAGCTCGAAATCTGAAGACCAAAGTGTTTATTCAGATGATGATGCCGGCGAGGCAAGTGGTGAGTCGTCTTTGCATAGGATCGAAGCAGAGGAAGAAGAACACATTTCTTCTGATCATGATTAATCTTTTGCAACAAGAAAAAAATGTTTCAACTTTTCGTTTTGGAACAACCCAATTTGTCATATAAGTCTAATATACATATATAACATTTCTTTTGAGAAACTATGAAACTTAAAACAAAAAAATTATGTATATATCTTTACTACTGTATATTAGGAAGAAAATGTTTACAGTATATTATCTAACCATGTGTTTCCACATAATTTTCATTAAGCTTTAATAAACTTATTAGCTTAGAAATATAACAAGTCTACAAATGAGTGAATGGACTAGTTCAACAAAAAATACTCGTGATAAAAAAAAGCAAAAATATTTCATTTTCTATTTAAAATTTATATTCTCACTAATTAGTGAATATATAATATAAAGTCATAAATTGTATAACCTTTTTCTAAAATCTAAACCTGATAATATGTTATGTACTAGATGAAGTGTGAATGTGAATTTAGGAACGATTGAAATATATTTCTAGATTTGCTTGTATCGGTCTTTAGCAAAAAAAAAAGAATTGTGAACCAATTGAGAATGTTAATTATTGTGATGGCTAAGTATGCTAGTACTCAAAAATTTGACTGATCATAAAATCTACACAGATTGCAACTATATGTATTATTCATGATAAGTGTATAAAACTAATAAGAGACAAAATATATATATATATAAACAAGAAGTAAAATAGAAAGAAGGCCTTGGCTCGCCAAAATAAAAATAAAAAGAAGGGGTAGGCATCATATATCCATTTGATGATTATATTTTGCAAAATAAAAAGTTCAAAAAAATTAATAATATAGATTGCTTTGAGTCCAAGGGGAAGAACAACTAATGTACATTTTAATCATTTAAGCCATCATTATACGTTTGATCAAAAAGAAAAAAGGCATCATTATACATAGATTATAGAGTCTTTGAGTATTCATTATGAACTCCATCTAAAATTAAACTATTCTCCATATATTAAAACAAAAACACAAAACTAGAATTAAACTTTAACTATTGCGATGAAAAACGTGAAAAGACGAATGTGTAAGAGAGATCAAGATATGAATTAAAACTAATTTGCAAAAATATTGGTTAACATAATATGTGTAATATCAAATATATAGTGCAAATTATACGTCACAAAGAAAACAGTCTACCAAACAGTAGTTGAGCCCAAAAAAAAATTAAAGCTATCACTTTCTATTCTACCGCAACTTCATATACACACGTAAACATCATTGTAACTTCACAACAAAGTCAGCTAAACACATAACACGACCACTACCAAATTATATTCCAACAAAGATTACAAACAAAACAACAACAAAAAATACATCAAAACATTTGGTGGGTTGTCATTTTCATCGTATATATACATTTACACACATACTCTTATATATAAATATAAGTATTTTAAAAGGAAAGGCTTGGTAGAAAATGAGAGATAGAATGGAGAGACTTGTGGTGCTTCCTTTCTCCGTTGGATGTATCTCCGACTCAAGTGTTGCCGTTTTATCTCCTCTCTCAAAGCCTCATCATCATCACTCTCGTCAAGGTTCAATTCATTCCCTCTCTCTCTCTTCATATTTATCATGTATCTTCGATATACATATATGTATACATTGAATATTGATATATCATGTATCTTCTATTGTGATCTCTTTATGTGTTTTCAAAAGAGAGTCGTGATCAAGAGGAGGAAGATAACATGAAGAGTGTATTCAAGTTCCTTGCGCTTTCTAAACCCGAGATTTCTACCGGTATTAACCGGCTTTTCAAGAGCTTCAAGACCATTTCTCAACTCTTTGGTAATGTCTAATGTTATTTATTTATCGGTATGTTACGAAATGTTTCTTATTTTTCAACTCTTTGGTAATGTCTAATGTTTTTAGCTGACAAAGAAGAAGAGAACGAAGAAGTCGAGACATCAGGAATGGAGATAGGAGTTCCAACAAACGTAAAACATGTATCACACATCGGATGGGAAAGCGGTTTAACCGCGGCTACAGGTCCAGGTAAAGGATGGGAAGATCTCATACCACCGGAGTTGCTTGCAGCCGCTTCTACAAAAAAAGATGTTAATCCTCATCTTCATCCAACTTTGTAACTCACTCCCTCTATTTAAATTTTATTTGCTGTTTTGTTTACGATTCTAGACATATTTTGATACATATGGTGAAATTTTATCTATGATATATAATGTATGATGATATCATATGCCGTGTATATAATCGTTGTGGGTATATATATTATGTAAATATTTTGTATGTTAATCATAACTCATAAGATATGAAATTACCATACATTATCAACAATGATAAAGGTTAATCCAAATTAACTTCTAGAAACAGTTCCTAAACTAACAACGAATGAATTAATAGAAAATTCTAAAAATGGACTCTTCAGTCAAAATAGATTCGTAGGAAATTTTCCCAATCGGTTTTTAACGAAAAGCGAAGGATGTGACACGTGTCATAATCTGGTGAGAGATTACAGAGAAAAAACATTCCCTTAAAAACCTCAGAGGATCCAACAAGAACAATCTCTAATGGCGGTTTGAAGTTATTTTTTAAAGGTTTAACATTTTTTTCCAAATCCGCAGAAATCTCTACCAAAACACTCCTAAATCTTCGTCATCTTTTGTCTCTTTATAAAAAAGATTAAATAAAAAAAAAAAACCACTTGATGATTATCCCATAAACCATATAAACAAAAAACAAAAATTTGTTTTTTTGTTCAATCAATCTCTCTCTCTCTAGCGAAATTTAGATTTTGATTTTGGGGATTTTGCTCTCTCTTTGTTGCTCGTATCTTTCTGTTTCCCAATTGAGAGACGGAGGGAGAGAGAAATTGATGGGCTTAATCGTGGATGATAACGACGGAGAAGTTTTGATTCCGCCGCCGAATTTTTCGATGGTAGAAGACGGGATTTATCGATCTGGGTTTCCTCAGCTGGAGAATTTCGGATTCTTATCAACCCTAAATCTTCGATCCGTCATGTAAGATTCTCTCTTTTGTTTTTTCTCTTGTTGATTCTGAGGTATTTATTAAAAAAAAAAAAAAAAAAAAGAATCTTTTATTTAATTAAGCATCGTTGTCGTTGTTTATTTAGACAGATACCTTAAATTGCTTCACCACAACTTTCACTTTCATGGCTTATAACTACAATTTTTGTGGATAATTATATTTGTTGTTGAAATGTGACATACGCAGAAATATTTGATTACCAAAACGAGTTTTCTTTGTTGGGTTTATCTGGAAACAGTTATCTGTGTCCTGAACCATACCCTGAGGACAATCTCAAGTCTCTTCAATCCAACAACATTAAGCTTTTTCAGTTCGGGATTGAAGGCAAAACGGTATGGTTTTCTAACGTTTATGACTTAAAAACAGCAATTGTATTGAATCTTTTGAGTTCTTCTTCAAGAACATTTGACCCTCTCTTGTTCCTGTTTTAAGTCTCTTGTTGGCTTGTAGCATTTGGTTTGATGAATCTTATAAGAGCCTAAGAACATATAAATACTCTTTTCTTATGTAGTTTCTTTGAATCATGGTTATGTCTTTGATTTCTGAGTTTTGGATTGTTTTTACTTTTACGCCCATAGGATCCTCCAACTCCTATGCCAAAGGATACAGTGTTGAGTGCTCTTAGAGTACTAGTTGGTAAGGAACCAAAGAGAGACCCTTTGATGTCTTGTTAGCTTCTCCCTTTAGCTGTCTCATTAATTCGTCTGTTTGTTTGCTTACAGATGTTCGAAATCATCCAATTCTCATCCACTGTAAGCGCGGGAAGGTAACCAAACCAAACCCTTCTCGGGTTTAACAAGCTTTGGGTTGGGTTAAGAGATTGATTGAGTCTAATGGTGTGTTTCTGTGGCTCATTGCAGCATAGGACAGGTTGTCTTGTGGGATGCTTGAGGAAAGTGCAAAACTGGTGTTTGTCATCGGTTCTTGAGGAATACCAAAAGTGTGCGGGTTTGAAATGGAGACAAAGAGATTTAAGGTTCATAGAGGATTTCGATGTGCTCAGATTGAAGCAATGTCTATACAGCATTATCTATCAGTACAATGGGTATGGTCTCAAGAGAAGAAAGTTGCTGTATCAAGAAGAGAATGTTGTTCAAGAACAGCAAAAACCTCAAGCCACCAAAGGGTGAAGAAAGAGATTTGAAATCGGATTTTTTTTTGTTTCTCTTCTCCTTCTAGATTTTTAATTCTTTACATTTTGTCGTGTTGATGATGATGATTCTTTTGAGAATAGGATAGGTTTTAAAAACCTTGAAAAATAGAGGATTTGATTTGGTCTCTCTATCTTTTTTCTTTTTACAGTTAGAGAAATTTACAGATTGATTCTTAATTGTTGTTGTTCATAAGAAACTAGTAACAAATATGTCGCTTTTGTACTCTTAATTATATGATTGGATAAGTCAATAGAACTCAAAGTTTTTTTTTTTTCTCGTGGCCTTTTTTCACTTATTTGATTCGTGGGCCTTATACTGTAGAACCATCTCAGTTTATGACTTTATGGGCAATACTATAATCGATATTGTGGGCCTTTTGCATTATGAAAATATGGCGATATTGATAGCAAATAAGTTACACATACTGTATTATCGAATACATCCAATATCTTTGAGTTACACAATCTTATGCTCCACTATATTTTAGAGAAAACTGAATCCAGTAGACAAAACTGATTGAAATAAAAACGGAAATATCCAAGTATTTGCATTTCTCCCTAGTCCCTAGCATTTCAACCACTAGCAAGAAAAAAAAAGAAAAAGCTATATAGTATTGATTTTGATTGCTCAAGTTGTTGAAAGACTAAATACTCTGTAATCTGAGTCCAATTTCAATTTGATTTGGATTAGAAAAACCACATGTGCACCATGAAGCTGCACAAGCAAGCACAGTGGGAATTAGAATCTTTCTTTTTTAATGAGAAAAAGAAAAAAAGACAAGACTGCATATAACTTGTCCAGATGCTTTGAAGGCTTGAAAGCTTAAAAAGCAAAAGCCAGTTTATGCAATGACCACATATAACATACATGACATGTTTCTCTATGCTTTTAAGACACCAAATCAAAGTACGTAATCTCTTGTTCGGTTATAACATGAGTTGCATAAACTTTCACTCTTCCTCAAATGATTCCACTAAAAGTTTGGCTTACCTAACATGCCCAATCAGAAACAGAGACGCTGAGATTTAACATAAGCCTGTAAAGTTCCCGAACAATCATATAACTCAAAGAACAAAACCAAAACTCTTCAGTCTTAATGAGCTAACATGTCTGATCAAAAACAGAGATGCTGATTTTACGAGCAGCTTGAAATGATTCAGAACAACCAAAATCACCAAGATGAGAGAAACTGCAGCAAATGAACATAAAGTATCCAGAAACAAGAATCAAAAGAAACCCATAAGTTAGAAACAAACCATTTTATAAAGAAAATAAATATCAGTTACTTTTATATGATCATAACATAAAAATACGAAGATGGACATAAGCATCATCCATCATCAACGCAAGTTTATATTCTCACATCAAAACACCATTAAAAGACCACAAATTTCAAATCGAAATTCGATACAATCCCCAAACATCTTCACTTCACTTCTTAAGGCTTCCTCTGATCCCAGGCTTAGGCTTAGACGATTCAGCAGGAGCAGCTAAAGCCTCATGAAGATTCCTCGGCTCTTCATAAGTCAGCTTTGGATGCTTCGATTCATGATGGATCTGCATCGTCTTTAGATCCGGTACAGTGATCTTGCAGTGAGGACACTCGTATTTAGCGTGACCACCTTTCTCCTTACCGGTTCTATCGGCGAGCCCTGCCTTTCCTCCGCCGCGATTGGTCAACGCTGCATCGGCTTTTGCTTGGAGCTCCTTCGCTGTGTGCTTCTTTGGCTTTGCTTTGCCTGTCATCGTCGATGGCGGCGGCGGCTACGAGAAATGAGAAATTCGCAAGGTGGGGGAATTGAAAACCCTAACCCTAATTTTGTGATTGAGAGAGAAGGATTTGGGGGCTACGAGAGTTTCGATGCGAGATTATTTATCTTTAGTTAAAAAGTATTTAAATAAATAAAAAAGGAATTTTTATCCTATTTTGTGAAAAGGTCTTTATAGAGTGTAGTATGGTGCATATTAAGACTTTTGTTCCAATTTTCCTAATATATTCGTTCAAATCCACTAGCTTTATGCTTTTTATCACTTTATAAATTCAAACATAAAAATAGTAAATAATTTTATGACCAAAAAGTATGAATTTAAATAATAACATAATAGTACATTTTGTACATTCACACAACTAGAGTTTTTTTTGTTTCGTACATGATCTCTAATAGAAAATTAGAAACTTATCTTATTGCAAAGAATTTAAGATTTTAATCCATTAAGGTTTTGATTTTTTTTAGATTAATTATAATCCAGCTGCATTCTTTGGATTACTTATCTCTATTTTCCAGTATGAATTACACAAAAACAACTATCATATTTACTTTGTAACTATATATACTCTATAAGTTTAAAATTAATGTTGTTAATACGTTACATGATATATAACATATAAACATCGGTTAATGTAGATAAAAAGAGCTGAAAACTTGAACTAAAATCCAGATCCAACACTTCAGGATAAGCTAATTTACCCATACAAAAAGTTTCTTTCATTTTTAGATAATTCTGGTACATTCACAGATTCACTATGATCTCATTGCAGCAACGTGGCACTACTCAAGAACACGAAACAACACGTATCAGTTTTCTCATGCAGATGAAAAACATATTTTATATGACTCTATGACAGGGACGTTTATCTATTTCATCGATCATTTCATAAAACAGAAACCGTAAGAGAATCCTCCCAAACAAGACAATGAAACAACAGGACAACGAACTCAAAATCCCCGAACCATTACGAGCCGACTGGTTCATGGTTCTAGTTACCATCCAAGCTGATCTAATCTACAACGCACTCGTGGTATTATCCTCACCTTTCTTTCTCCTCTACCGCTCCTACCGCCGCGCAGTCGCTACTGTCTCCGCGGCGGAAAAAGCGGTTAAACGGGCTCCCTCCCGGATAGCGGGTGGTGCGGGGCGGGTTGTTAAGAGGACATGGTTTGGGATATTGGGTGCATGCCACGTGTCAATGGTGATGGTGTTGGCGTTGATTTTGGCGGTTGTTATCGGTGTTGGGATTGTGAGTTTGTATGTAGAAAAGCCGGTGGTTGTGAGAGACAGATTGTTCTTTGATTACACTGAAGAAAACCCAAGTGCGGTTTTTAGTTTTGATAAGAAGAAGAGATCGTTTAGTGTTCCTGTTGGTCATAACGTTCATGTCTCTTTGGTGCTTTGGATGCCTGAATCTGAAATTAATCGAAGAATTGGGGTGTTTCAGGTAAATGTAATTCTAATTAGTAACTTACTAGTTGAATCACCAAAATCAGATTTGATTACTAAATAAAGTTTATTGACTAGCTATAATCAAAAGAACTATACTGATCAACAACTTTTATGTTCAATCAAATTTTTTCTGTTAATGAATTTTGATGATTTCATTTAGCAGCTTTTTTTATTAATCACATGATTCTAAGAAATTGCAAATTATGTTCAAACTGTTATGGGATTCCGCAAGTTTTAATTAAAAAAAAATATATACCGTTATGTCTCTAATTAAAATCATATTGATAGCATTTTTTTTAGTTAAATTGGTCCATTGTCTTGTGTGAACAGTTGAAAGTAGAGCTTTTATCGTTGAAAGGTGAGACAATCGCGAGATCGAGCCAACCTTGTATGTTACGGTTCAGAAGCAAACCTATAAGACTTGCACGAACATTTGTGATGAGTGTTCCACTTATAGCCGGAATAGCAAACGAAGCACAAACAATGAGAATCGATGCATTAAAGCACCATGAGAAATGGCCAAGGACAAAAGCCGTGAGAGCGACTCTGATTCCGCGTGCACAAACTTGGACATTGCCTCAGCTATATGAAGCAGAAATCGTTTTAAACTCAAAACCGCCATGGACTAAACGAATGGCTTATAATTGGAAATGGACTCTTTGCGTCTGGACTTCAATGTATCTTTACGTCGCTATTTTAACAGCGTTTCTTTGGTATTTTAGACCGGTTTTGTTCCCTTACACTTCCTCAAGATTTACTGCAGAGAGCGAAAACTTAGAGATCGAAGTAGTTGAAGAAGAACAAGAAGTAATGGAAAGACGACGGAGGGAAAGAAGAAACCAGCCTCGTCAAAGAAGTTTTGCTACTACACAGAAAAGTTATACATAGTCACATAAATATTCTTCGTTTTTTGGGTCAAATTCTGCTCTGTAAGAAACTGGCAAATAGTAAATAACAAGAAACTCCAGAGAATTGTGAATACCTTTTACGGTTTAAAGTAGTGAGAAGAAGGTTGGCTAGTGGTTGCCACTTGTGGAGGAGTTACCCTGTTGGTCTAGGCCAGGGATCGATTCCCCGCAAGCGCGCAATTGCTAGATCTCCACTTGGTCACATGGATATGGGTTTTTGCTTTTGGCCCATTTGCATACCCGGAGAGAGAGTCTATTTGTGGGTTGCACCTCTCCCAGAGGATTAGTCTGGGCCCCTCCATAGGTCTGAGATTTCCTGAGTTGTCAAAAAAAAAAAAAAAAAAAAAGAAAAACAATTGGTTGACGAGAAACTATCACTGTGATTTCCTTGTTATTTTTCTTTCACTTCTTTTAACGATATTCTTCAATGTAATAACATCTTCATTGAGTTCTTGTTTGCCAACAATCTTTTGCTCACGGGGTACTCTGCTTTTATCTTAGCTGCCCAAAGCTGCTGACTTGCCAATTCCGCAGCTTCGGCTAGCTTATTATCTGCCATGATACTAAACAAAACTTGTGGCTCTGTCAGTTGTTTGTATCAGTCCCAATTTTAGTAATAGAACTAAAACAGAACAAAGCATAAACACTTGTACAAGTCTAGTGTACATGTTTTTGTTGCTTTTTGAAGTTCTTCCCCTGAATGTGTGTTAAAGACTTCCTCAATACCAAAAATGATGAATCTTATGTTATTCGATCTTGTGAATATTGGTTGCCTAATAAAATCTGGTGTTATTAGTTATAGTATTTGATAACATCTCCAAAAATCATCTAAAGTAATTAAACTGGGGGTTTGGAAAAAACACTTTTCTTGGAATTTATTTTATTTTTTTAATAATGATTTTAAGGTGTTCTAGAAGAATTCTTAAGCTAGAAATACAAATATGTAAATTTCATGGGGTTGATAGATTTAAGTTATATTAACAAATCAGTTCTTTAAATTCAACTAAAATCACCAAAATCATTTAATTAAAATCTATGAAAATTAATTAAAATCATTCAAAAATATTGATACTACAGTTACCTATCAAACTGGATACTTATTCTCTGTAAATGTGCTAATTAATGTCATTTCTATCAACAGAAAATTCTTTTGATATAATAAGATATCAAAGTATAAAACTTATCTTCATTACCCATTTTGAGTAACATATATTCTGGTGTTAAAATTGTATATATGTTGAAAATATTGGTTATCTATTTCCTTTCTAAGTTTCTAGCAAACAAGTGAATACTTGTGTATATATATCACACTTTCAACGTACAAATGATCTAAATCATAAACAAATCTTGTAGAGAATTGAAAGATAAAATAAAAATGGTCTCCTCAAAATTCGTTATTTTTGCTATCCTAGCTCTCTCTCTTCTACTGTCCGGTTAGTATTTATTCGTAAAATCCATTGTGTTGCATTCACTAGAAACTGGATAGATGATTGGTTATGATTTACGTGTGTTGTGTACTTGCAGGTACTGAAGCAAGAAAGACCGTGTGGCCTAGCAGCGAATTAGACCCAAAGTGTTGCAGCCCTCAGCCAGAATTTGGTAAATGTGAAACAAAAGAAGATGATCAAAAATGCACTCAGATGTGCCTTGATGGTTGTCCCACTAACAAAGGTGGTGGCTGCCAACCTATTACTGAAGCCCCTGGTGCTGTTTGTTCTTGTTACTGCGCTTAACTCTTCTTCTTGGCTTTATTGATTCATAAGTAAAAAAGTTTATTTTTGTATCCAGCTTCAATAATATGATACTTGATTCAAAACAGAAATTATTTTCCATTATAATTTATCAATCTCTGAAGTAAAAAGAAGAAGAACACAAACCAAGTTCTTTTTTTTTTTGTAACTGATCAAAGCCAAATACCAGACAATCCTTTTTTCTTAAACGGATAACTCAATTTGGGAGACAAGAATCCCATCAGTATCTGCATAAAGCCATTCTCCATCACAAATCCGAGTCCCTGCAATGTTAACCGGAACTCGTTGTTCTCCAAGTCCCTTTTTACTCGCCTTTATCGGATGAGAGGCCAAAGCTCTCACTCCGATATCACAACCGTTGATCTCATCGACGTCTCTGATGCATCCGTTCACAACGATTCCTGCCCATCCGTTGTTCTGAGCTTGAACCACGGGGTTACCTCCGAGTATTGCACATCGTTGACTCCCTCCACCATCCACCACAAGAACTCTACCGTTTCCTAATAACATCCAAAACATTTACAGAATCTTAGATGTGAGAATATGAAAAGTGAAAGAGATGATCTTGAATAATTAATAAGAGCCTGAAACTACTATTGCGAGGTTTCCCAAATCGATAACCCCTCGAACACTCCTAGTTAAAGAACTTTGAATCGTTCTCTCTAGTCTCTCCCATAGAAGGCTGATCTTGATACATGTAAATGAGCGAGATCAGCTCTGTTTTCTCAGATTAATACCCTTTTAATCATGAAAATGATCCATTTGCAAAGTGATAGATTACACACACTACGCCACTAACACAACTATGTCTTTATGTAATCATTAAACATGTAAAGTTCATAACTTGAGATCATATCTCTATAAGTCCATGCAAGTGAAATTTGTTCAAACCCATCGAAATTTTGAAAATAACTTGATTACCTTTCTCCTCGATGAATTGACGGATTAAGCCATTGTCTTCAAATACTTTGACAGTAACAACTGGTCCTGAAAATATTTGTCGACGGCCATAAATCTGGAAAATAGGTTGCAAAGCTCGTAGCTGACCACTCCGAATCAGCTCTTGATTCGCGTCACAAACTTCCGCAGTGGTTACAAACGCCATTTTCTTCGTTTCCTGTTCTCAGCTATGATCAAAAGATGAGACTTGAGAGTGGATCAATCAAAAGGCAAGAATTTTTTAAGTTATCAGATTTTCGATAGCTTGATGGCTATGATCACCGAATCTGTTTCTTATGTCATGGACAGTCGAACAAACCCAGAAGAAAAAGAATAAAACTTTTGAAAATATTTGTATGGAAGGGATCAGATCAAGTTTTGTTACCTGGATCAGACAAAATTCAGATGCAGAGAAACTCTCTTCACAGTCTGTTACTATTTCAGAGAAGAGAATAAGTGATTCTAAAGGAGATCAAAGTCCAAAACTTGCTCTCACTTCTCCATAATACAATTAAATTATTAATTTTTACTTTTTGAAAGAAGAAATCAGATCAGAGGTAGTGGTGAAGCTTAGAGCAAGGAATCATGAGATTACTACTTGATAACCTTGTGGTCTTTAATTTTACTTTCTCCACCTTCTTTTTTGTTCTGTTTTCAACGTGTGTTATTATGTTCTCCCTTTGCTTTTGTGAATTGTGCAACTCCACAAGTAAAAAGAACTCTTCCTTCTAAACCCGGATGAATCCAAGGGAAATAAAAAGCACAAAAAAAATCCTAGGAAGAGATTTTGTTGCCAGTTTTGTCTGAAATCAATAAAGTCTCATTTTTTAATTTTATTATGAGAAGGGGAAGATCCAAAACTTATGGAAAGTTTAGAGCTTGTGAATGGTTTTCATGTCTGCAGCTTCAATGAGGGTTCCTTTCTCAACATGTTCCCACCACTTCATCAAGAAATTGTCCACCACCAATCTAAACCATGGAGATAGTTTCACAGCTTCATCGCCTGCATCTGCTTTCTTCACCAGCTCCTTAAGCTCTTCCCTGCTCACATAGCTGATGTCAGCCACTTCATCCGGGTTTGGTTGAAGCTTCACATCCCGCACGATGAAAAGTAGATAGTCAACTGCAAGAAAGTCCACAGAGGTTCAAATCCTGAATTCAAAGGAGTTAAAAAGAGAAATGATCAAACATAGAAGGATTGTATACGTTCGTGCTCTCCCCATTTTCCATCAGAAGGTGCCTTATAAAGCATGCGTCCCAAGGGAGTGAACTCATCGACTGGTACATCTTCAGCCACTATCCCGAGCTCATCGAGAAGCTTCCTTTGTGCAGCATTTCTTACACCTGATAAGGAAAGATCAAATAGTGGAGATCAGTACTTGGTAGCTACTAACCGCTGAAAGATTCACGATGTTTCATAAAGCTTAAGCGCATACCAAGCACATTCTCTTCAATAAGCTCAGATTCACGGTAAAGAGGATGGCTGCAACAAGTGTTTGTCCACACAAGTGGGAAAGTAACCTTGGTTTTTGAGCGTTGCTGTCCATAAGAGAAGAAGAAAATTTCAGTAGGATGGTCACACAATCCGAAGCAAGCAAAGCCAAAACCCAACCAACCAATTTTTAATAAAGCTACGTGATTTTCAAGAGACTAGATGATCTGAATATAATGGTGAACAAAACTATTCGGATCATGGATTTCTAAACCTTGAGTCATCTTCACATCAAGGTGATCATAAGAGAATACCTGGAGAAGCAACTCATACTTGGAGTTGAATAAAAACACACTGAAAGCTCTGTGAAGCAAATTCTCAGCTTCAATCTTTTCCATCAGATGACCTGCAAGATCAAAAAATACGAGTCAGTCTTATCCTGGATCAACCAAATTTTGACACTATAGTAGAATGAAATCCCAACTAGATCACATTGAAACGGATTACTAAGACACATATTCGAAGGATACATGCACATGTGGTTCAATGACAAAACAAGAAATCGAATCCGGAAGCAGCTTTATATTGCCATCATTCTTCTCCGAGATATTGAATGAAGATCAAATTCACTTACAGTTATACTTAGTGTCATGGCCTACCACACGATCATTTTCATCAACGAGAATGCATCTGCGGAACAAAAAGAGAGATTGAATTGAACAAAAGCCATCATAAATACTAACTTCAGAACATCAAGCAGCCATCAAAATTTTAGAAAAGCTCAACATCTTCCACAAAACATATATCTTAGAAACATAGAGAGAGTGTCTCAGCTAAATTTGTCAGATAAAAGTAATAAACCCTAAATGTTGGTTCCTTAATAAAGCAAACCCAAATCAAAATCGAAGAAAAAGGAATCAAATTTCTCACTCGTCCTCAAACATGAGTCGTCTCTGAACAGCATCCATTCCGGCGTCGTTAGCATCGGTCATGGTGACGGCTGAGAAAGTGCGAAAAGACAGGTGAGACCTCGCCGGAGATCGGATCGGAGAATGACGGAGAGGGGCAAATCGGGAAGAGGAGGAAGAAGAAGAAGAGAGAGGAAGAAGGAGGGATCTGAGATGAAATGAAGGGAAGCTAAATAGTGAAGCAGTAGACATCTGGATGTGTCTTTGTTTCTGTTTTTTTTTGCCTTTTTGCTTATTATAACAACTCGTACGAAGTAGTTAAGTCCGTTTGACTCCGCTTTTACCGTCAGAGTTCGACTCCACTAAATTACGTTACTCTACGTAATAGAGATTAGTGATACTAGAGTTTTTACTATCAATTACCCTAATATACTTTCATGTCATTGCAGTATAAGAGGTTATCAATCCAATCAGGTGCTCTTACTATCAATCAAGATGTGATCAGAGATAACTAAGTCAAGCCAAGCAGAATATTGTTTTGTTATCTAGCAATACTAAGCGATCATGCATAAGCGATAAAACTACAGAACAGGAGTGATCATGCATAAAGAGAAAGAACTATCAATACTAAGCAGCAATAAGTAACAGGTAAGCAACAGGTAAAGAGATAAGTAAATCAAATGAGATAAAAGGTCCTGAGGATAGGGTAATTGATTATAGCAGTCTCCTTAATCTACTTAGGTGGTTAACAATCCAAACAGGCTATCCCTAGACAATAGATTCAACTACAGATCAATCCACTCTCGTGACAGAGATCCTCAAGCAATACCAGTTCCAGACCTAATCATCATTAGCGAAATCTAGCAAAGCAGGCAATAAGATTCAATCTAATATAGTCAATAAACATTCTAAACATCCAATCTCTTGGGCTAGAGTATGTAAATCTCTGGAGTAGTTGGTTCAGACATTTCATCGAACACCTGGTGGGTGTGGAAATGTCTGGGTTCAAATCCCAGTTGATCAGAAAGGAATAAGCACTAAGTACTACTAATCCAGAAGGGATTCAAGCAATTCTACACTTAACCACCTAAATAAACTAAGGATTCCACACCTAATATATCCCATCCTCAAGAACCCTAATCCACTACTCAGACATGCTCAAGAACACAAACCCAGAAAATTGCACAAACCCAGAAATCGCTAAAAACATCATATGTTATAGATCAGAGCAAGATAAACAACTTTGCAGAAGGAAATTATTGCAAAAACTCAAAGGATCAAAAGTAATTTGGATTACAAAAGTTTGCAGAAATATTGTTCAGAGGATAAAAACGAGATCCTTTGGGCAAAGCCCTAAGAGCTCTATTTATAGCAAAAGTAGAAAACCCTAGTACACAAAACGACAAAATAGAAAGTCGGTTTAGGGTCTACTCGAGCTGGTACTCGAGTGGCTTGGTCGAGTAGTCCATTCTTCAAAGGTTGCATCTTGCTCGGGTAAGTCTCTCAGGTCCAGTTCGAGTAGCCTGTTCGAGTAGGTAAGTCGAGTATGTCTTGGTCTTCTCTTCAGAAATCTGCTCGAGTACACTACTCTGGAACTGCTCTGGCACTGCTCTTGCACTGCTCTTGCTCTGCTCGAGTACACTGCTCTGGCTCTGCTCGAGTACACTGCTCGAGTACACTACTCTGGAACTGCTCTGGCACTGCTCTTGCACTGCTCTTGCTCTGCTCGAGTACACTGCTCTGGCTCTGCTCTTGCACTGCTCTGGCTCTGCTCGAGTACACTGCTTTGGCTCTGCTCCTTAGTACCTGAATGTACCAGATACAACTCCAAAATGCAAGAATGCATGCTATGCTAATGTAGAATACTCTAAGTATGCAAAGTGATGCAAAATGACTACAAATGACAGTAAATAAGAGTGAATACTAAGCTAAATGCATAGCAAATGTATGCTAAAAAGAGGTAAAATACAGAGATATCAACTCCCCCAAACTTAGCTTTTGCTTGCCCTCAAGCAAACAAATAGAACTAAGCTGGAGAAGAGGTTTGAAGGTTTATAATATGAACTAGGTTAATTTTCGCGCGATTATTTGAATTTTTGTACCGTTAATTTGTAAATATGGTTTAATTTCTGATCTCTACTTTAAAACTTTAGCCATCTCCTTCACATCTCAACCTAACTTCTGCCTTAATCAATTCAAGCAATCACCTCAGCAATTTGTATAGTAAATTAAAACAATTTTTCCATTTTGATCATTTTGAAGCTAACCATAACTAAAACTCTCAAAGACTTGGTATTTTTCATAAAAATCTATCCTTTTTAATAAATTAGTTAATTAGTGAATTTTGTTGTGAATCAGATTATATTACTTTGTTAAGGGATACATAATCATGAGATATAGCATAGTTTAAAATTTTAGAGTGATGATATGTGTCATTTAACTTTTAATTTGTCATAAAAATCCTATGTTTTTTAATAAATTAGTTATTTAGTAGATTTTTGTATGAATCAGATTATATACTTTGTTAAGAGATACATAATCATGGGATATAGTATAGTGTTTAAAATTTCGAGTGATACGTGTCATTTAACTCTTAACAATTATGATTCAAATTTACACCATGATCAATGAAATTTCAAATTTGTTTTCTAAAATATAGAGTAAACAAAAAAATCTGTTTTTTCCTAAATTAGTTACAATAATCTGATAATGTAATTTTGTAGAAAAAACATTATAAACATTATTGATATCAAACAGTAACAAATAGACTAGGGATGGACACAAGGCAAGTATCGTGGTGTTAGGTGAATTTGCGATTTGATTCGCTTTATACATCAATGTCAGCTGCTTGATTGCACGATAGCTTGAACTGGAACATGGATGCTGAATCTTAAGCGGCCTTGACTCGCTGGCTGCTTCTCTTCCCTTCAACTGCCACAAGAGCCTTTGGCCCTACATATAATATGTAGAAAAAACAATGCATCTAAAGGTCTCGAAAGCATAAAACCAAAGTCAAGAGTAAGATCGATACCTTGAGGACATCAACATCGATAAAGCCTTTTGAGCATTGAGTATTGATCATAGTCTTGGTTCTTCAAGAGACAGAAATTTCATGCAACAACTCTTTAAGAGCCAAAACCCCTTTATCTAGTTCACCAACAAACTTATTCAAGAAAAGTTCCCAAGACTCTTTATCAACTTTCCCATTCATAACAGCCATTGAAACAATCTTAATCGCATCCTCTTCTTTTCCTAACTTCTGCAACCCCTCGAACAATATCAAGAACGTTGTTTTGTTGGGAAAGCAACCACTCTCCAGCATCTCTTCAAGTACCCTGACTCCTTCTTTAACATTTCCGTTCTTGGACAAGCCTTCAATCAAAACGTTATATGTGAAAGCATTCGGCTTACATTTCCTCTCAAACATGTCGTCCCATAATCTACCCGCCTCTGTCAACTCACCCTTCTCGCACATTCCAGCAATTAACGTGTTGTACGTCAAAAGACTAGGGATCGAGCCTTTGTCAAACTCATCGAACAATTTCCTCGCTTCTGAAACTCTCCCTTCTTTGCAAAGCCAATGGATGAGAGTGCTCAGAAGCGCATTATCAGGCATACAATTGTTCTTCAACATTTTTCTCCACAGACCACATGCTTCATCTACCTTGTGATCTTCACACAACGCATCAATAACTTTACAACAAAGAGAAGAATCTGGCATAAAACTTCTGTCAAGCATTTCATCGAACATGTTACGTGCTTCCCCGGATTTCTTCTCCTTGCATAAAGCTCTGATCATAACTCCATAAGTTACTTCATTTGGCTCAATCTCGTTCTTTTCCATATCATCCATCACCGTAGCTGCCTCAGAGAATCTCCCTAACTTACAGTAACCATCCATGAGAACCGTGTAAGTGATCGCATCCGGATACCACCCACGATCCAACATCTCTTCCAAAACCCTCTTAGCCGATTCCATATCACCTCTAGCAACGTACCCACCTAAAATCGTAGTGTAAGTCACCAAATTTGGCACCAAACCCATTGCAGGAATTTCGTCGAGCACTTTATATGCACTTTCTATATCATTTTTCTTGCAGAGAGCTTTGACGAGTAGATTACAAGTGAAGATGTTCGGGGTGATTCCAAAAGACTCCTTACTGTTCTTAAACATGGCATGAACCAAATCGAATCTCTGATTCTGGATTAGAACGTTTAAGAGTGTGTTTAACGATCTAACGGAGCGTTTAACACCGAAATCAGGGATTCGAAGAAAGATCCTCATTGAAGATTCGTATCGACCAGCGAGACCGTAGTTTCGAAGCAAGTCGATGAAAAGATTCTCGCCGCATTTAATCGGCGGGTATGAATTCCGAAGATCCGCCATGAGAGACTCCACGGGATCGAAAGCACGAGCACGGGATAGTTTGAAGAGAATTGAGTGGTAAGTATCGTAATTATGAGTGAAACCAGGATGGGATTTACCGGCGTAGAGAAATATCTGGAGAGCGAGATCGATGTTCTGCTGTTGGGTGATCATTGAGACCAATCGCTTCGGGAATAGCCTCTGCGGCCACGGTTTGATCGTGGGCTTCTCCGTGCAGTATTGCTGGAGAGAAGCGGCGGAGGCGGAGAAGAGACGACGAGAAGCTATGAGTGGACGAAAGCGCGTGCCGTTCACGCGGGGAAGGAACATCGTTGTTGATTTTAGAGCAGCGGCGAATGAATGTACGGGACGAAGACGACGAAAGATGAATTTTAAATTTGCCGGTGGCTTTATTAACCGGAGACCCGGTTTTCTTCATGCCGGTTCGAGTATTTTTCGGTCTTATAAATCCAACATAACTTTTTCTTTTGGTTAAAGTTGATAAGTACATTGTTGGAAGTTGGAACAATTAATCCATTTAACTGTAATTTTTCTACTAGTTAATGAAACAAAATCAATTATTTCACCATGAAATTTCAAATTCAAAACATTTTTTCCTTCAATTTTAAATAAAGAATAACTTTTCTTCGTTCTCGAGTTATTTCGTTTATTTTCTCTTAATTTCTGGTTTTCTAAAAATTTTTTTTTTGTAAAACTGAATTTTATATATATCTATAAGTAAAAGAAACAAAAATAATATTTTTTTTCTCTTTCACATAGTTTGGTTGTAGAAACAACTAAATCAACATAGTTACAAGGATATTTTTGTTCTAAAAATACATAATTACTATTTTATGGAAGTTTTTTTTTGACTTTTGTCAAATCAAACCGTGAGAGACCAAGTCAATATCACACCAAACATAAAATTTCTTCTTTTTCTTTTGGTTAAAGTTGATATGATAAGTACATTGTTGGATTCTGGAGAAGGTATTTTCGGGCTCCTTTCCCTTTCGTGAACAATCAAAAGATAAAAAAAAAAAACAAAAAAACCAATAATGATCATTCACTCTTCTTCTTCTCTCCACGGCTCGAAGTTCTTGAACAGATTTAGATATCATAACCGATCTGTGACTAGATCCGAAGCACGTGGTTTCAACGTGACCACCACGAGGAAAGAGGTTGTAGTCGCGGCTCCTCCTCTTCTCTCTGTGCCGGAAAACCAGATCATCCCTCTTTCCAACCTCGACCTCCTTCTCCTTCCTGTCGACATCAACGTCTGCCTCTTCTACAAGAAACCACTTAATGACCTTACCAATAATGATGCTCTCAAAACGGCTTTGGCCGAGGCTCTCGCCTCCTAGTACGTTCTTGCTGGCGAGGTCGGGATCAATCCCACCACCGGAGAGCCCGAGATTCTTTGCAGTAACGGTGGTGTGGAGTTTTTGGAAGCCGCTGCTGACGTGTAGCTCTGAGAGCTTAACTTGTATGATCCTTATCAAAGTATTGCCAAGTTTGTTCCCATGAAAAAGCATGGAGTCTTTACTATTCAGGTAATAGAATAGTTAAGAAAGCTGGCTCCATGATATGTCTTAATCTGAATGGATTTTATTTTCAAAATAAAATATATACATGTTAAATAAGTTTTGGGATTCTAGTTCTGCATAAGAAACAAAATTGAAGTATCTATCTATACGCTGCATCTCACACCTTCAAAAATCACCTATATTCATTCATATATTTTTACTTATTCAGCTAAATAAGTAAAAACATAACTCTGTTTTTTTTTCTTTGCTGGTTGTTATTGTTTCAATTTGTCTGAATAGGTAACTGAACTGAAATGTGGGAGCTTAGTTGTGGGATGCACATTTGATCACCGGTACAACAGATGCTTATTCCATGAATATGGTTCCTCCTATCGTGGGCCGGGATCTCTCGAACCGATGTACCGATCTCTTTATGTTCCTTCGTTCAAAAGATCTCTGTTAGACCCACGACGACCTTTTTGATCATCGACTCATCAATAGACCAATTGTACATGCCTATAACGTCCTTGACCGTTCCACAAGAAATCACTAATCCAGATAATATCCTCACAAGCCGTATCTATTACATCAAAGCAGATGTCTTAGAAAAGCTTCAAACTCTGGCTAGCAATGGTAAGAGAACGAAACTGGAGTCTTTCAGCGCGTTTCTATGGAAACTCTTAGCTAAACACGCTGCAACAGATTCGGTACTCCTGACTAAAAACTCGAAACTTGGCATCGTTGTTGACGGAAGGAAGAAACTTATGGAGCAAGAAGAAAACTGCAATTACTTTGGGAATATCCTCTCGGTTCCATTTGGAGAGCAGAAAATCGATGACTTGATCCACAAGCCATTGTCTTGGGTGACTGACGAGGTTCACAAGTTACTGGAGAGTACAATGACCAAAGATCATTTCTTGAACTTGATCGATTGGATTGAGACTCGCCGTCCGATACCAGTTATATCAAGGATATACGGTACTGGATTCAACGATGGGCCTGCTTTCTGTAGGCCACGATTTCTACGACATGACAAAACTGAATAATTGCAATAGATAATGATAAAACCAGAAATAAATTACAACAACCGAAACCAATATTTGTTAAACAAAGAACGGTTTGTGCGGAGGCGAGACATTCTTTCCTTAATTCTTTAATTGCCCGTAGTGTGACGGCTTGACGCAATCAGAATCCCAGGATACAACCGCACCATCTTCTGATTTGCAACACTCAAAACCAGAAGCCTAACGAACTCTAGTAATGTGTGTACTCTCAGACTCGATAACTAGAGAAGAGAAGAAGAAGGAGATTGTGATCTTTTTGATCCATATGTCCATGAGATAAAAATGGAGAGATGAAGCCTTGGTTTTATAGTCCAAGCTCTCAACACTATAATGGAGCAATAAAGGTGAGAATGTTATTGTTATGAGAATGAATTCTCAACATCAATGTCATTGACTCCATCACCTTTAATTGTTGTGAATTAATTTTTGTTGTTACACAATTTATAATTCACATTAAAGGAGATAATTGTTGACTTAATCAACTTACACATTTGGGTAATTAACAATTATCATTTGGGTTATAAGCCCATTTCCCAAATCTCAAAATCTCAAACCTGGTCCGGCTCGACACGATACAACACGGCTCGGCACACATGCCTAGTTTGGATTTCTCCTTTAACTTCCGAAGTGCGACATTTGATCCTTTAGTTAAATTTCAAGCTATCCAAGCTAGCCATTTCGGACCTCCATTTCTCATTCAAACAAACTTCAACTTTGAAAGTTACCCGAAAAAGTAGTCCGGCGCAACTAATCAAAATAAATTATGGTCTCTGTTCAAAAACCAAAGTTATCGTCGATTCTTTGGCCATGCATTGTGTGGGGGGGGACATGATCGTCATTTGCAACAAATAATCCTCCGATTTATTCTACCCCTCGCGTCCATCGAACACCAAGACCAGAAAATACGTAAACACCCCCAAATGTCGTCATTCTTCGTTATCCATTCAAGGGTAATATTGACCTCACGGTAAGAAAATCCACAATATTTCACGGATAACGAAAATCCACAATATTTAACACACGGATAACGAATTTGGAAATCAAAAGTCGTCTCTCAGGGTGGTCCTTTGAAAGATCACACTACTGTTTTGGACTCGAGCTTCTTCTTCAACAATGCCTCTCTCTCTTCGACTCGCTCCATCTCCGACGTCTTTCCGTTACTCTCCGACTTCATCTACCGGCGCTGTCGGATTTCCCCCCGTGAAGCAGCACTGCCAGATCCCTAATTCCGGCGTCGCGACGAAAATCGGATTCTGTTCTGGTGGTGGTGGTGGTGTTTTAGATTCCGGGAAGAGGATTGGTTCCTATGTGGTGAGGTGTAGCTTAGAAACAGTGAATGTCAGTGTCGGCCAGGTGATGGAGGTTGATAAGGACACTTTCTGGCCAATTGTTAAAGCCGCCGGTGATAAGATTGTTGTCCTCGACATGTACACTCAGTGGTAACGTTTCGATCACTTCTTCTTATTGTTGGTGCGAAATTTTGAATTCCTTGATTGCAATCTCGTGTTTGGAACTACTTTGATTCCGTCAGATGTTCGCGGAATTGAAAATTTCAATGTGCCGTTTGTTTGAATTTTTCATTTGAGCATCGAATAGTTATCTTCTTGATAGGTTTTGGATCAGTCGTAGGAAATTAGGGTTTCAAGGTTGTTTACTGATTTGGGATTTCTCAGTTAAAATAATTTTGCTAAGTTGTTTGTTTACATGAGAACTTTGCTTTGGCTGATCCTCATGTCTTTAATTCTCAATTCCTAATTCTTGCTACAACATAATCACGTCCTGGTCTAACAATCTCCCTTGATTCTCTTGGCCTATTTTAAGCTCGTCTCGTCTATGAACCTCACATTGTGTGGCTTCCATAGTTTAGGGCTAGTATTTGATCACCTTGTTACTTTCAATTGTATTCAAAAGTGACAGCATTGTAAGTAACTAAGTATCACCCATAATCTTCACATTATGTTACAGCTCAGCTCTGTAGACATTCATTTTTTGTTTGTTAAAAATGTTGGATACAAAAGGATATGAAACTATGAATAGTAACACCTTCTGGAGGATTAGACCATGTACATTTAATAAATAAGCCAAGCTGTTCCAGTCATGGATGTTTGAGATGAGTTTACTAACATATGTTTTGTTTTGTTGTTGAGTGGAATCAAAGTTTGCCTTTTTTTTTTTAAATCCTCATTGGGTTTTCTGCAGGTGTGGTCCTTGCAAAGTGATTGCTCCCAAATACAAAGAGCTATCGGAGAAGTATCAGGACATGGTGTTTCTTAAGCTTGACTGCAACCAAGAAAACAAGGTTTGTTCTTGTTTTTGCGCGGAATGTGTCTTCATAATTATGTCACTTAAATCATAACGCAAAACTCTTGCTTGCAGCCATTGGCCAAGGAGCTAGGAATTAGAGTGGTTCCAACCTTTAAGATATTGAAGGACAACAAGGTAGTAAAGGAAGTGACCGGGGCAAAATATGAAGACTTACTTGCAGCCATTGAAGCAGCAAGGTCAGGCTGAGTCTCTCTCTATATCACTCATTATGTAAAGTATTAGGATCATACTCCATCCATGTTATTGGTTTGGTTCTATGTATGTAACTCTTTCTGTTCCCTTAACCGGAATCGGTGGTTAATTATATATGTATAAATGGTGGAAAGGTATGAAACGATGAGCTGAATTGTTTATGCATCATAAGTTCCTAACCAAGCAAATTGGCTATTTTTGATTGAGGTCACCCAATAGATTTAAATTCAGGGATTAAGATGGATTTTAATTTCGGGGGCCCGACTGTTGAAATAGATGCAGCTTGTTTATAGTTTGGCTTACATGTATGATTTTTGTGCTTTGTTTTCAATGGATGATCCAACTTCCAACTAGATTATTCATAAGTCATTTAGTTGTTCACCAAATCCAATCTGGCCTAATATTTAAATTTTAATACATTTGGCCTATGTATATTATTAGGCTAATGTATTTGGACCTATTCATATTTCGTAATAAAATTTGGGGATACCAACAACATAATTATCATTTGAATGCAATCTTTATGTAATAAACTAGGATATGACCCGCGGTGTACCGCGGGTTAATTATTTGATTTTTTTATTTTTATAAATTGATGAATTTATTGTGTATAATATTTTTTGTTGTATACCGCGGGTAACATGCGTTGTATCTAAAATAAAAAATTTTAAGTTGTATTTGTTTTGTTTAGTGTTTAAGATTGTATAATTGTATTTTGATTTGTTATTTATAGGATTTCACCTGTGGTATATTGTCTCGTATTAATATTGACCCAAACCCGTCCAACCATATAATCTAAAATGAAATTAAACATCATTTTGTTATTTTTTTAATAACACTTTTATTTAAATGTCATATAATTCGAGTTAATTTGAAAGTTGCTTTCAAATAGTTTCCATGTATATTTTTAAATTAGTGTGTGTTTTTGGACCAACCAGTAAAAACAATTTATAATTGTATCTTAAAATACTAATTAGGATTTCACCCGTGATATACTGTCTCAGTTTAGATAATTGTAAAAATTAAAGAAAGATCCGAATGACTCAATTTCGGGTCTGAATAAAATAACGACATGATTAAATGCTCAATTTGTTCTTAAAAATGTTAATATAGATTACACACATATTTTTATTCATCGATTGAGTAATATATGTCCGTTTTAAAAAATTTGAATTGTAACATATGCAGAAAAAAAAAACTAAAACTTACTAACTATTTATATATTTTATAATAATTTAAAATAATATAAATATAAGATCAAATAAAAGTGAAATAAGAATCATATATTTATGTTTAAATTAGGTAGAGAGGTTTTAGGAAATTAGTGCAAATTTGTTATATTAGCATTAAATCATCATATTTGATTTCTTTATCTATAAAAATCGTGGAGAATATACCATAAATAAAGCGTTTAAATATAGTAATTAGTTGAGAAAGTATATATATTTTAGATTTTATTAATTATTTTCGTTTTTTAATTTTGCCAAAATTTAAGGAAAGATCCGATTGAAGATTTCCGGGTCAAAATTAAACAAATTTGACCCGATTTGGGTACCCCAAAAACTGATGCAAAAATGTATAGTAGATATGTTTTCCTCCAAAGAAAATGTAATTTCCTAGATATGAATAGTCATTTAAATTCAGATGACCCGAAAAAAAGATAACAATTCATTTGAATTCTTCAAGGTAAAAATTAAAATACGATAGTCTACAAGGATTGGGGGTAATCGCAAATACAGAACAACAGATCAGAGTATGACACGTGGCGAAATCTGAAAGAGAGTTATAATGAAAGAGAAACGCGTTCCGAGTCCGACATCTTCTCTCTCTCTCTCTCTCTCTCTCTCCCTGAAGTGAACTGTTGTTGTGCTCTTTGGTTTCATCGAGAGAGAACCTAAACCCGATCTGAACCAATAACAAGAAGAAGAAGAATGGCGTCTTCGTCGTTCTCAGTCACGTCTCCGGCTGCTGCTTCCGTCTATGCAGTCACTCAAACCTCGTCGCACTTCCCAATCCCAAACCGCTCTCGCAGAGTTACTTTCCGTCTCTCTGCTAAGCCCAAGCTTCGCTTTCTCTCCAAGGTACACGATTCTTTCCCCGATTTAAGAGAAGATTTCGTGCAATGTGGTTTTTAGTTTTTCGAATTCTGGATAATTTCAATTTGTTTAGGTTTTTTTGGCTAATCTCCGTCGATTAGTGTTTATCTGCATCTTCCGATTTGATTCTCTCTGTATATATATGTTCAACGTCAATTAGAATTCAGAGTAAACGTTTTCCGTGAAGAATGATAAAATCCGATTTCCAGATTTATGTGTACAAATCGTGATTTGGCGATTTTTTCCATTAGTGATTTCCTTTTGATATATGAAATTGCAGCCTAGTCGCAGTAGCTACCCTGTGGTGAAGGCACAATCTAACAAGGTAAGCTCTTTTTTTAGTGATCTCTTTGAGAAAGTGTTTATCCAAAAACTTGTTCATTTCTGGACTCTCCTCCTGCCTTTAAAGGTTAGTACTGGTGCATCATCAAATGCTGCCAAAATTGATGGGCCATCAGCAGCTGAAGGAAAGGAGAAAACCTCGTCGAAGGACTCGTCTTCTTCTTCATCTTCTTCACCTGAATTAGCGACAGAAGAGTCTATTTCTGAGTTCCTTACCCAAGTAACAACTCTTGTCAAGTGAGTACAGTTTCTCTGTTCTATTACTCAATCATTTAAACCGTGATTTAATACTTTACCTCCATCATGTAGGCTTGTGGATTCGAGAGACATCGTTGAGTTGCAGTTGAAACAACTCGACTGTGAACTAGTCATTCGTAAAAAAGAAGCCTTACCTCAACCTCAAGCTCCTGCATCTTATGTTATGATGCAGCAACCAAATCAACCATCTTATGCACAACAAATGGCTCCTCCCCCTGCACCTGCTGCTGCCTCACCAGCCCCTTCTACGCCAGCCTCCCTGCCTCCACCATCCCCACCTTCTCCAGCCAAATCATCGCTTCCTACTGTTAAAAGCCCCATGGCTGGCACATTCTACCGTAGTCCTGCTCCTGGTGAACCACCCTTTATTAAGGTATGATATTTTCAAAATAACAAGAAAGTTAAGACATGCGCTTTTGGTTGAGACATCTTTTCATTTGGCAAAGTACACTCCCGGAATCTGTTATGTGCTTTATACATTTGAAAGAAGAAGATTGAAATCGATATAAAGTCAAATAACATAATACGAAATGGAATTGTCATATCTAGCAAATTTTGCAAATTCAGGTCTGCTGCATTTCACTGGTTGAATTCGTACCATATAACTTTCTTGGTGCTTCAGGTTGGAGACAAAGTGCAGAAGGGGCAAGTTCTATGCATTGTTGAAGCCATGAAGTTAATGAATGAAATAGAGGTGAGTTTCTAAATCATCTGAAAATGGACTAACATGTGAACTTTTTATCTACCCTAGCTATTTCGAATCATCTCTTACCAAATACTTACAGTAAATTACTATGCCGTTTCTCTGTTGAATCCCACTTAGCCATCTTCTTAAACTTCTATAATTTGCCTTGTAGATATATGACCAAACTCTTATTTTCACTTGTCAATTATATTTGGATGAATACTTGTGATTAACGTGTGCCATTGATTTGACTCTGAAACTTGAACTTGTTCTCCTCAGTCTGACCATACAGGAACCGTAGTCGATATTGTCGCAGAAGACGGCAAGCCTGTCAGCCTCGACACTGTAAGTTTACTAGTTCGCTCTCTCTTTACTTAAAAGGGAAAAACAACTTTCTCCAATTCAAAAACCGCATTTTGTGTGTTAGTTTATACGCTTTCATCACTTCAATTGAAAGGTTATATTCAAACCACTTTCTCTACTGATGTCGATGTTTTTTGCGATGTGACAGCCTCTGTTTGTGGTTCAACCATAGAATCGGCACCATGAGAAATGGAGAAAAGAAGCTCTACTAAAATCAATCTCTGTGCTTTGGTAAAACAATTTGCTGAGACTTCTAAAAATGTTTCCCCTTCGTTGTCACTGTTAAAGTCTGTTAGGTTTCTTAGTTTGGTGAGGAAGAATCAGTTATTAGTTTCTCTCTTTTCGTTAAAAAAAGATGAGACATTTTTTTGCATTAAATCTGTTTTTATTTCTTTCCTATGTAATACACGAACTCTTCTTGTTCTGTTGTTCTATTACAATTTTTCCAATTTCAGAATAGAAGCCCAACGTCAATATGGGCTTAAATAAGGGCCCAACACGAAAAAAGGAAAATATATGATAATTAATGAACAATTAAATTAATCTCTAGAAAGAAAGAAACGGATTGTTTGTTGACAGAGGCAACTTCAACCGCCTTTCTTCTTCTTCTTCCTCCTTATAGCAATCGAAAACGCTTTCTACTTTTTTCTTGCTTTTTTTAATTCAATGGGTACTACTAGTCGAGATCTCTTCTTCATCATCTTCGCTCTCTTCTCTTCGATTCTCTTCCTTCAGCTTTCCTCGTTACCGGATCCCTCGTTTTACGATTATCTCCGGGAAAGCAATCTTCCCGCCGGAATAGTTCCAAAAGGAGTTACTAATTTCTCGATCGACGTTAAAACGGGTCGTTTCACCGTCGCTCTTCCTGTTCCTTGCGATGCTAAATTCGAGAACCAGTTCCACTTCGATTATAACATCTCCGGCGTTCTCTCCGATGGACGGATCGGGAATTTATCTGGTGTGACGCAGAAGGAGCTGTTCTTGTGGTTTGCTGTTAAAGGAATACATGTGGATCCGGAGAGCTCTGGGTTAATTCACTTTGATGTCGGTGTTGCTGATAAGCAGCTTTCTCTCTCGCTCTTCGAGTCTCCTCGAGATTGCACTGCCGCGGAATCTCAACCTCGTGCGGTTGTTTTCTCTAGACCCCGTGATTTGGAGGTACGTTGTTGCAATTTCATGAGCTTGATTTTGTATTTGGGAAATTGCTACTTGCTAGTGTCATATAGCTAGGGTTTAGATTTTTCCCCAAATTTGTTTGAGTCAATAACTTTGTGAAAAAGGGTTTTATTCTTTAACCACAATTCTGAAGAAGAGGCGAGATTGTCTCTGTTCCTAGCTCATTGAATCTTGATGTAACTTCTTGAGTCGAAGAATCTTTGTATATGAATGTTTGGGTTTTGTTTTTGCTTGAAACTTGTTGCTGAAGTTTTGAAATCAGTGTTCTTACTCTGTTTCTTTAACTCTTACAATGCAGAAGCAATCTGAAGAAATCCAATCGACAAAGCAGAAGAAATCTGAAGATATCCAATCGATATTTGGACCACGAAGAAATCGCTGGACATTAGGATTTTGATTGACGCTTAGAAGGAAGTGCAAAGTCTTCTGGTATGGTGTGTCTTGTAAAAAAGTTTGGCTTGTAGTAGGTTTTTTTGTTTTATACCATATCCTATAGTATCAACAGCATAAGCTTTCAATGACTGCAATAGACAAGCTTAGGAGGCATGAATACTTGGTTACGGATTATTAGGGGTTAAGACATATATACATATATGATATATGCTTGTGGGTTTTCACCAGAAACTGTTGTGTTTTTGTTATCACATTCTTTTCTTGGTTTTTACTTGGTATAAGAAAGGATGTTGAGGATACATGAATCGTTTTATGTTATGGTTATTAACATGTATGGAAGATGATTTAGAGAAAATGAGATTTCGATTGTAGTAGAGAGACAGAGCAGATTAATCAATTAAATGATGAATCATGAATCCATCTTATAGCTCGCTAAATGCGTAAAGCTCTATAAACGTTGATTTGCTTTCATTTAGTTTTTTCATCAAAATTAGCTCAAACTTCCAAGAATCTTGCAAAATCGTAGTATAAAATCCAGAGAAATTTTTATACACGCCCCCAAACGCCTGACCCATGCGCGTTTCTGCTAAAAGGAGTGCAGTGTCATCATTATCCCTTTGGCATTTAATGATCGATGGATGACTCGTTCTTTTGAGCGTGGTTTACGTGGGACCTTAAATTCGTGAAGATAATAGACAACAGATGAAGAGAGAACAGAAAACGATAAGTGACCAAGTTTATGCGTCATTGATCACAACAACACGTGCGAATTGTGTACATATCTTAAAATATGCAATAAATAAAGCGTGAACGGCAGGATTCGAACCTGCGCGGGCAAAGCCCACATGATTTCTAGTCATGCCCGATAACCACTCCGGCACGTCCACTACATGTTGTCAATATCAGCTGCCCAATATCTATACACATCATCGTCGTAAATTCGTAAATCTTTAAAATCTTTATATTTCAAAATTTGTTAATTGTGGGAAAAAATGTTAAAGGATGGGTGAAAGTTAAAAAAATTACTCTTTATACGTAGATTTGACCAAAGACTATAGCACTGCTACAAAGTCAAATAAGTTTGTTAATTATTTTCATATATGGGAATGAATCGACATCTAACATGCCGATTGGCTTCAGATCTGTTTAAACCTTATCGCCATTGTCATCAGTCATCACCAAGGAATCCTAGATAATCACGAAACTCTTTTTTATTTTATTTTATGGATAACTATTTTTATTTAAAAGGAAATGAAACTAAAAAAAACCACAAAAAAAAAAAAAACAGTTTACCACCTCAAGAATTCTTCGAAGAGATGGAGGATATGAAGCCATGTGCCGCAAACTCGCCGCCGTTGACGCCGATAGGTTTCTTAGAGAGAGCCGCCACCGTTTACGGTGACTGTACCTCCATCGTTTACGGAAGTAACACCGTTTACACGTGGCGTGAAACAAACCTCCGTTGCCTCCGCGTCGCGTCTTCTCTGTCTTCAATCGGGATCGGCAGGTCCGACGTCGTCTCCGTTCTCTCTCCCAATACTCCGGCGATGTACGAGCTCCAGTTCGCTGTTCCCATGTCCGGCGCAATCCTCAACAACATCAACACACGCCTCGACGCACGCACCGTCTCTGTTCTTCTCCGTCACTGTGGATCTAAGCTTCTCTTCGTCGACGTCTTCTCCGTCGATCTTGCCGTCAAAGCGATCTCGATGATGACGACTGATCCACCGATTCTCGTCTTCATCGCTGATAAAGAAGAGGAAGGAGGCGATGCTGACGTGGCGGATCGTACCAAATTCAATTACACTTACGATGATCTGATCCAAAGAGGTGATCCGGGTTTCAAATGGATCCGACCCGAAAGTGAATGGGATCCGGTTGTGTTAAATTACACTTCCGGTACGACTTCGGCTCCTAAAGGAGTGGTACACTGCCACAGAGGAATTTTCGTAATGTCAATTGATTCTCTAATCGATTGGACCGTACCGAAAAACCCGGTTTACCTATGGACTCTACCGATATTTCACGCTAACGGGTGGAGTTATCCATGGGGAATCGCCGCCGTCGGAGGAACAAACGTCTGTTTGCGTAAATTCGACGCACCGTTAATCTACCGTCTGATCCGTGAGCACGGCGTTACACACATGTGTGGAGCTCCGGTGGTGCTCAACATGCTATCGGCGACTCAAGAATCTCAACCGTTGAACCGTCCCGTTAATATATTAACCGCCGGTGCTCCACCTCCAGCCGCCGTCCTCCTCCGAGCAGAATCAATCGGATTCGTGATCAGTCACGGTTACGGATTAACGGAAACCGCCGGATTAAACGTCTCATGCGCGTGGAAGCCACAGTGGAATCGTCTACCGGCGAGCGATCGAGCGAGGTTGAAGGCGCGGCAAGGAGTGAGAACCGTCGGATTTACAGAAATCGACGTGGTGGATACTGAATCAGGTTTGAGCGTAGAGAGAAACGGAGAAACCGTCGGAGAAATTGTTATGAGAGGAAGCTCGATCATGCTTGGTTACTTAAAAGATCCTATTGGAACAGAGAAAGCTTTAAAGAACGGGTGGTTTTACACCGGAGATGTTGGTGTGATTCACTCCGATGGATATTTAGAGATTAAAGATAGATCGAAAGATATTATTATAACGGGAGGTGAGAATGTGAGTAGTGTCGAGGTTGAAGCGGTTTTGTATACGAATCCGGCGGTGAGTGAAGTGGCGGTGGTGGCGAGACCTGATGCGTTTTGGGGAGAGACGCCGTGTGCGTTTGTGAGTTTGAAAAGTGGGTTGAGTCGGAGACCGACGGAGGAGGAGTTGATAGAGTATTGTAGGAAGAAGATGCCGAGGTATATGGTTCCTAAAACGGTGTCGTTTGTGGATGAGTTGCCTAAGACTTCGACGGGGAAAGTTATGAAGTTTGTACTTAGGGAGATTGCGAAGAAGATGGGTATGACGAGGTTGAGTCGGATGTAGAAATCAGAACATACGATTTGATAAGACTAAAAAGGCTTAAGTGTATGTGAACGTTTTTGATGTCTAATAAACAAAAGTGTTTGAAAACGGCCAGTGACCGTTTCCGTTGTTGAAGCCTAGTTTGTGTTGTGTAGTAACTTTGCTCATTCTCAATTTCTATTTTCTTCTCAAACATAACATTTCATATATTTATAACCTGGTATGGTGCAACCCAAGCCAAGAACCGGCTTTAGCCATAACTCGTAAGTATGCGATTGTCTAAGGTCTATTTTAGACCGTTTTCAATTTAGGGTTAAAATTTTATGGTTAGTCCTCGGTCAGGACTCAGGAGACCAAACCTAACAAAACAGAACTAAACAAACATCAAACTAACTAAAAAGAATACTATAAGTCCAACGCGTTAACACCGTGTCTTAAAAAGACACGTATCTCACAAGTTGCGTGCTATAATGTCTCATTTATTTGCTGTTTTTGTAATTAATTAATTTGATGACTGTTTTGAAGTTTCCATAGTTGGAAGCCATGTTATCTTACAAAAATTTGTAATATAAGTATAAAACAGATCCACGAAAAAGAGAAAATCAAGAAAACCCAACTCATTAAGCAAACTCGGATCAACTTCTCTTCTCTCTCTCTCTCGCTAAGAAAAGAAGTATAGAAGATGGGATTGTTCTCCCACAAGATCTCGAGAGATGATCTGAAACCAGGCGATCACATCTATTCATGGCGTAACGTTTATATCTACTCTCATCACGGTTCCATCTCTTTCTCTCTATCTCTTTACGCTCGATCTTAGATATTTTCTAGATTTTACCAAAGATCACATAAATTGGTTTTGCATAACGCGATTTCTCTGTTTGCAAATTTTCAGGAATCTACGTAGGAGATGAGAAAGTCATTCATTTCACTCGTGGAGGTGGTCTAGAATTCGGAACAGGAACAGTTTTGGACAAGATCATCGATATTTCAATACCAAATCATGGAAGAAGAGACAATAAGTGTCTTGATTGTGGAGATCAATCCAATCTCGGTGGTGTAATCTCTTCTTGTCTTGATTGTTTTCTCGCCGGAGGAAATCTTTATCTCTTCGAATACAGTGCCTCTCCGTCAATCTTTCTAGCTAAAAGAGGTGGTACATGCACGGTAGCATCTTCAGATCCTTGTGATGAAGTCATTTCTCGTGCAAAATTTCTTCTTTTGCAAAATGGGTTTGGTGAGTACGATCTTTTAGACAACAATTGTGAAGATTTTGCCATCTACTGCAGTACTGGTTTGTTTGTGTTATCGGTTGCTACCAAGTTTGGATGTAGTGGTCAAGCCAATTCTCTGTCTGCAGCTGGTGGTGTTGTTGCTTTGACTCTTAAGGTTTTAGGTGTGAAAAAGAAGAGTAGTGGTCATGAAGATGATTCTGTGGTTTCTGTTGTTAACCAGGTTATTTCTTCGACAGTTAAATATGTAGTTCCTGGTATCGGTGGTATGGCTTTGGCTGAATATGGTAATTACTGTATTGGTCGTCTGTTTTACGACATTGGTGTTAGAAAAGATGCGTGTAAGGTTTCTGTTGAAGAGCTTGTTGCATTTGTAGGAGCCAAGCAAAGCATATTGGAGAACAAGAAGTCTAGTTAGTTAGCACTTTGTTGTGCATTATGTATGTTTGATGAGTAATTGTTGAGTATGGAGAGAGTGAATTTGCTTTTTCTGCTTTGTTTGTATTGTGGAAACTTTATTTTAACTATTTGTAAAGTTGCAAATACAGTCAAAATAACATTATTGTTTCCAAGAAAATTGAACTGACCCTTACATTTTTTCTGACTCCAATATAGATATAGATGCTACAAAAACATTGAAAACACTTTATCACCAAACAAACTAATAGGCCTCTCATGCGCCTTAGAGTAATCCTCTTTCCCAAAGAACAGCTTTCATTGTTTTCAGTGATTCTTCCATATCATCAAAAATCTTGTGAGGATCCGGTATTACAGTAGGATCAACCGTTATCGTGATTGTCAGTTCCTCAGCATAACTTGTGTAATGTATCAACAATGCCTATCAAAAAAAAAACAAGAAACAATTAAAAAGAAAAGCTTACCGTTTAAACCAAATTACGCAACAAAAAAGACGTACATGTGAGTGTCCATAAGAGCTTGGATAAATGTAAGCGACAGGATGGCCATGGAAACTAATTTCTTCCATAGGGCCCATAACGTTCGAAACACATGTCGTTATGTTCATCAAGTGTTGATTGAATAATGATGTTGTTGCCTATAATTGACAAAAGTGTGTTATATATATACTGTCCATAAATATGCAAACAAATCTCAAATATGTTTACCTTAGCTCCTAACACTTTTAGGGATATTTTGATAAGAAAATACGTTAGAGCTGCTTGATAGGAGTGCTTCTTTCGAGCCATCATAGCTTTGGATTTTTTTAGATAAACCATTGGATCGGTTTCTAAACCAATCGATAACGGTAAAATAATAAAGCTAAAGTAATTTCCCCATCTGCATTTTGAATCCTTGACCATCATTTCTGCCAAAGGCTTTTATACAGAAAAAAGTAATATGTGCATAAATATTGTTTGTTGAGAATAAAGAGTTCAATTATATAATTTGAGGAGTATGTTTCTAACCTTGAACCCGATGTCTGACCTTAGGTTTACGGTACAACCTGCACGAAATCGTATTCCAACTGGAAGATTGTTTGGATATGAAGTCAATGCTCCATCCTCCTCACTATTCTTGGCTTGTTCTTCAAGAACAAGATATGCGTGTGAAACATAATATTAATTAGATATAGATCATATAAGCATCTTCTTTTCTTTGTATTAGAATCAACTTCTGGTTAAGATATTAATTATTGTAATTAAGTTAATCATTTGAACTCTTAATAATACATCTTATATAAATATATTGAGTTTAATGTTTACCGTATTGTCGGTTCAAATAGCTAGAAAGTGCGGCTTGTGTAATTCCGAGTAGAACATCGTTGATAGTCTAGCAGCATATGCAATAGAAAGCACACAGATCCATTAAAAAGGTAAGAGAAACCCTCAAGTGGGTTATGAATATAAATCACAAGTAACTTACCATGTTCATAACGTTCTTGATAAGTTTAATGTCATCTAGAGAGATATTTCGGTGATAAAATTTCTTTGGATTGCTCCTGACATTCGCACCGCCTTTTAGTGGCGTTTTTGTATCCTTTAGAAACAACACAGTCGCAAAAAGCAAGAACATATCTACCAATGTATTCCAAATCAGTCTCACTGTAGAACCAATGGTGAATATTGCCCTTAAGAACCAGCCATTTTTTTCAAGGCTATGTGACACTGTGCTTCGCCGCTTCACGGAAGGAATAGCAGTAGACAACATGTCTGGATTTGATGTTTTATTGGTACATGCGAGCACGAGGGAAATGAAGGACATTCCATCTGCCAACGCATGGTTAAATCTTATTACACCGACTGCTTCAGCATCTGAGGTTTTGACATTAAGAATGTGAATGTCCCACAAAGGTCTTGATCTATCAAGAGGAATCAATGTGAGACGTGAGATATAATCATCGACGAAGCTTTGTCCAATTTCACATATCTCTTCTGGATCTATGTATGGTACGATTACATGATCTTCTACATTGACTTTGGTCTCAATCCATTTTTCACCATTTTCAGACTATTAAGATAAGAAAGATGGAGACCAATATACTATGTCAAATCCCAAGTAGGATTTAAGCAAAATTTATACATATACAAAAACACAGCCGAAGACACAAACTATATAGGGATCAGGTAAAATAATTATCAAACATATAATTCATTTTTTAAAAATTAAGAATTCAATTTATTCATCTATACAGATATATATATATATATATATATACCTCTAAATCAGGTCATGGTAGAATGCATCACTTACAAGTGATCGAATATAACTATGTATAAAGAACATGTGCATGGTATATGTATAGGAGGGTACCAGTTTGCTGGAGAAACGAGGTGATGAGAGCGGAAGAGAAGAAGGAGAAAGGAGAAGGCCCATGAGGAATCGCAGGCCCAATCCGAAGTATGTCCAGTAGGTCCAACACTAAGTCAATTGACTTAGTCTTTGTTTCAGTTCAGTTTCAATAAGTATGGATCTTCCACGATTCCATTTCCTATCGTTTCCACGTTTGTAGGAGTTGTAACTCCACGTTTGTTTCAGTTTGTAATTTCCAGTTGTAAGGAGGTGTACTCCAAGTATTTATATCAATGAAAAACAAAACAATAGATAGTCTTAACTACCACCAAACAATCGTTTATCAATTCTAAGAACTAGAATTCTCTTGGCTTCTGAAGAGGGACCATTACTTGGTATCAGAGCACTTTTTTTTCTTTTAATCATTACGCTCCGACGTTCTAAGCGGAAGGGGAAGCATATCGTGTCTCCGGAGGAATCCGTCGAGCCGATGGCGACCAACAAGGAACGGTTGGAGGAGTTGGAGACGAGTCAAGGGATGATGCAAGACGAGTTACAGAAGATGAATGGGGCTATGATTGATCTGAAAGGAGATTTGAAGGACAAGTTCGCACGGTTGATGGAGGCGATGAGCAACCGTGACAGTGGCGGATCAGCGGGGTCACGAGGAAGCCGTAGAACAGAGGGGAACCAGGCGCGTGTACCTGGGTATCGGGAAGACGCCGACAATCCGTTTGCCATCAATACCAGTGCACCTGCGAGACCTGCAAAGCTGAAATTTCCAAGGTTCGCAGGAGGTGACCCAACCGAATGGATGAGCAAAGTAAACCAGTACTTTGAGTACCAAGAGATTCCACCGGAGCAGCTCGTGCGATTTACGTCATACCACCTCGATGGTATAGCCAATAGGTGGTGGCAAGCTACAGCTCGCGCCCTCCGCAACGACCGCATTCCAATCACATGGGATGTGTTCGAAAGAGAGCTATGAGAAAATTTCCACGAGGCATTAATGCAACTCCGACAGACTGGATCATTGAATGAGTATCAAGAAGAGTTTGAGAAACTCCAAAGCAACGTCCATGGATGGTCACAAGAGGCGTTGGTGGCGGCGTTCATGGGTGGCCTAAACTACTCTATCTCTGATAGCATTCGAATGTTCCAACCAAAGACACTACGAGAGGTGATTAATTATGCAAGAGTGAGAGATGGGCAACTTCATCGGCAGAGAAAGGAGTACCGAAAGCCGACGATGTCCTCCCGTTCCATCTCCACAACGACGGTGGCGGCGATTGAACCGCGACCACGAGAATCATCAAATCAGACCCCGAAGAAGTTGTCATGGGACGAGCTGCGGAGGAAGCGTAGTCTTGGTTTGTGTTTCAACTGCGACGAACGTTACACGCCGGGACACAAATGCAGGAAGCCGCAATCGTTACTCATAGAAGGTGATGAGACAGAGGAGGAAGAAACGGAGGAGGTTCAAGAGGTGGAGGAACCGGAAATCACATTGTAGTCTCTCACGGGCTGGGATTCACCTAAGACCATACGCATCCACACCGAGATTAACCGACAACCGCTGGTGGCCTTGATTGATAGTGGAGCGACACACAATTTCATAAGCGACAAAGCCGCCAATCGTTTGAATCTGAAGATCACTCGCACCAAACCGTTCAACGTGAGGGTCGCGGATGGGTATCCACTCCGGTGCGGCGGAGCATACCGGAAAGTGACGACGGAGATCGGCGGGGCTACCTTCGTGATCGACTTTTACGTCTTACCTCTCTCTGGTTTAGACGTCGTGTTGGGGATTCAGTGGTTGGAGCAATTGGGCCCAGTGTTATGTGATTGGAAGGCCCAGTTGTTGAAATTCACTTGGGCTGAGAGAGAAGTGGTTCTACGTGGGCTGCAACAGAAGAAAATATGCAAGGCCCACCCCAAAGAAATTAAAAAGGAGGTCAAGATGGGCCAGGCCTGCTTCACGTTGAGTATTGCTGCAGACCACACCACCGTATCTAAGACACCAGAGGAGATGCGACAGCTCTTACACCAGTTCGAAGACGTCTTTGCCGTGCCAACTAACCTACCACCGGAGCGCGAAATTGAGCATCACATCACTCTCAAAGAAGGTGCGGACCCGGTGAATGTCCGACCTTACCGTTATGCTCATTTTCAAAAGAAGGAAATCGAGAAGCAAGTTAAGGAAATGCTTGATTCTGGACTCATACGCCAAAGCTCGAGCCCTTTTTCATCTCCGGTTCTCTTGGTGAAGAAGAAGGATGGGTCTTGGAGATTTTGCACGGACTACCGGGCGTTAAACACCGCTACCATCAAAGACAGATTCCCGATTCCAACCGTGGAAGACATGTTAGACGAGCTCCACGGCGCCACCGTCTTTTCCAAACTCGACCTCACAGCGGGGTACCACCAGGTCCGAGTTCACCCACCTGACATCCACAAAACGGCATTCCGGACTCACAATGGTCATTACGAGTACATGGTAATGCCTTTCGGCTTGTGTAACGCGCCCTCTACATTTCAATCCTTGATGAATTCAATCTTTCGGGATTATCTACGCAAGTTCGTTCTCGTTTTCTTCGATGACATTCTTGTGTATAGCCGCTCATGGGAGGAACACTTAAAGCATGTTGAGATCGTGATGAACATTTTGCGGCAACAACGTCTATTCGTGAAGATGAAGAAATGTGAATTTGGAAAGGCGGAATTGGAGTATTTGGGACACATCATTTCAGGAGAGGGTGTGAAAGTGGATCAAGCAAAGATACTCGCGATGCTTGAATGGCCAGCGCCAACGACCGTGACCGAGCTGAGAGGTTTCCTTGGCCTAACCGGGTACTACAGCAAATTCGTAAAGGACTATGGTATTATTGCTAAACCTTTGACTGCTTTGTTGAAAAAGGGGAAGTTTGACTAGAATCCAGAAGCAGAAAAAGCATTTACGCAGCTCAAAACGGCAATGACGACAACTCCAACGCTCGCCATGCCCGATTTCGATGCTCCATTCATTATTCAAACAGATGCGTCGGGAGAGGGAATAGGGGCAGTACTAACGCAGCACGGCAAGCCACTAGCGTTCATGAGTCGGTCATTGGGAGTAACCAAGCAAAATTGGTCCACTTATGCACGTGAGATGCTCGCAATCGTCATTGCCATCCGGACATGGCGACCATATCTCCTTGGCAGGAAATTCACGATCCAAACTGATCAAAAGAGCTTACGGTTTCTGCTTGAGCAACGCATCCTTACGCCAGAACAACAAAAGTGGATGGGTAAGCTTGTGGGTTATGATTATGAGATTATCTATAGGCCCAGATCAACAAACGCAGTGGCGGATGCTCTGTCCCGTCGCAATGACAGTCCATGTCTTCTCGCCGTCTCCACCCAACAAGCTGCCATTTGGGAACAACTCCGACAGCTCCACACCATCGATCCCTACCTGTTGCATATTGGAAAGTTAGCAGACTCGGCTCCGGGGCAGCCGTATTCCCGACGCAACGGGTTGATCTGTTTCCGTAACCGCGTGGTAATCCCTCCACACTCATCGCTTATTACGGAATTGCTGCAGGAATACCATGATTCTTTGACAGGAGGACACTCGGGGGTTCTCCGCACCTTCAAACGGCTAGCGCAATAATTCTATTGGCCGGCGATGCACAAGACAGTCAAACACTATGTGGCCGCTTGCGATATTTGTCAAAGGGCTAAATCGGAGAGCATGTCCCCAGCAGGACTTCTACAACCACTTCCCATCCCGAATCAAGTCTGGGAGGACGTGTCGATGGATTTCGTAGACGGACTGCCTACCTCTAACCACCACACATCCATCATGGTGGTGGTTGACCGCCTATCCAAATCTGCTCACTTGGTGCCTCTAGCTCATCCGTACACCGCAAAATCAGTGGCTACCAAATTTGTGGATCACATTATCAAGCTTCACGGCATTCCGAAATCGATTGTAAGTGATAGAGATCCAGTTTTTGTAAGTCTGTTTTGGCAAGAACTGTGGAAATTGTTAGGAACAAGATTACGGATGTCATCGGCGTATCACCCGCAAACCGACGGCCAGACTGAAGTTGTGAACCGGATCATTGAGCAGTTCCTCCGCTGTTTTGTTTTGGACAGACCTAAGCAATGGAGTTATCTACTCCCATGGGCCGAATTTTGGTACAACACTACGTACCACTCTTCTACGGGTATGACACCTTTCAAAGCATTGTATGGTCGGGATCCTCCACAGCTCGCAGGATACACACCGGGTACAGCGACTGTTACCGAAGTCGATGCGCAGTTGATTGAACGTGACGCAATCCTAAACGATCTAAAGCAACACTTGCAGGCCTCTAACAACAGAATGAAGCAAGCAGCTGACGCTCATCGACGCGATGTCAATTTTGAGGTTGGTGACTGGGTCTTCTTACGTCTGCAACCTTATCGTCAGCACACTATTTTCCGACGCACGTCGCAGAAGCTATCAACACGGTACTTTGGTCCTTTTGAGATACTAGCTCGTGTTGGTCCAGTCGCGTATCGCCTTAAACTTCCGGAAGGTACGCGTGTTCACTCAGTCTTTCATGTGTCTCTCTTAAAGAAGCGGGTCGGGACAGACACACCTACTTCTGGTACACTTCCTCCTCTCCGTTCCAATGGCCAGCTCCGCCTGCAACCGGAGTTGATTCTGGAAATACGCTCTGCTTTTCGTGATGGCGAACAAGTTCGGGAAGTGCTGGTACAATGGCGAGACTTACCGCGTGAGGAGGCTACTTGGGAGGACTTTGATCAGCTCAAACGCAGTTTTCCGGCTACTGCGAACCTTGAGGACAAGGTTCATCTTGACGGGGGGAGTATTGATGAGAGCGGAAGAGAAGAAGGAGAAAGGAGAAGGCCCATGAGGAATCGCAGGCCCAATCCGAAGTATGTCCAGTAGGTCCAACACTAAGTCAATTGACTTAGTCTTTGTTTCAGTTCAGTTTCAATAAGTATGGATCTTCCACGATTCCATTTCCTATCGTTTCCACGTTTGTAGGAGTTGTAACTCCACGTTTGTTTCAGTTTGTAATTTCCAGTTGTAAGGAGGTGTACTCCAAGTATTTATATCAATGAAAAACAAAACAATAGATAGTCTTAACTACCACCAAACAATCGTTTATCAATTCTAAGAACTAGAATTCTCTTGGCTTCTGAAGAGGGACCATTACGAGGATGCTTGTAGACATTTTGCTTCAAAGCATCAAGAACAACGTCGGGATTAATTTTTGTTTTGAAACCAATGTTGATGAGGGCACATAAGTCTATGCCCGGTGATTGGAACACACGCGCCATCGGACTGAGCGGCTCCTCCTCATTTTTCTGCATTCTCTCCTTCCTCTTAGATGTGCATGTTTCTTCTCTCTCTCTCTCCAACGCTATTTATTAAGTTAATTTGTCTATAATGAATGTGACTTTTGTCGTTTGTTTCAAACTTTTTTGGTTTGGAATTAGCTAGTACTTAAAGTGGCTGTGTATGTTCCACATATTTTTCATATTTTTTAATGCGGGCGACTCTCATCAATAATGTCGTGAGGATAAGATAACTAGCAAATCACGTAATAAATGTGGTATGGTTTCATTTATCCGTTTGTATCCAATTTAGAACAATTTTTTTTTAGTTTTAGTTTATTTATCAAAATGTAGTTCCAAAAAGTTGTTACTAACAAGTTATTAACAAAACAACGATGGTCTCAATTTTATATATATGTTCGATTAGAAGTAATGGTCAAGCCAGTTCGATGTCTGCAAACTGCAGCTGGTGGTGTTGTTTCTTTGACACTTGAACCATAAAACTTTTATGGTTCATGTTGCAAACCAGGTTCTCTCTTCTACGATTATATGTGCATGGTTCCTGGTTTTGGTGGTATGGCTTTGACGGAATATGATAACTACTGTATTAGTCGCCTGTTTTACGACATTTGTGTTAGAAATGATGCTTGCAAGGTTTCTGTGAAAGAGCTCGTTGCATTTAGGAGCCAAGCAAGGCATATTGGAGAACAAAAAGTGTTTTTAGTTAGCACTTTCTTGTGCATTATGTATGTTAATTTGATGACTAATTGTTAAGTATGGAGAGAGTGATTTTGCTTTTCTGCTTTGTTTTTGTATTGAGCAAAATGCATTTTAACTTATATCTATGCAAAGTAGAAAATACAGTTAAAATGACATCATTATTTACAAGAAATTGATGTCACACAAAAAGAAAAAATTACAATAATTGAACACTTGTAGAGCTCTTCAAGCTTTCTCATTTGGCCACCGATTCTTGAAGGTATTGTTGTGAAGATTTTTGTTATCTCGAGAAGTACTTTCTAGTGCTAATATCCACACAAAGGTGAGAGATTGGTTCCCCACTGCTTTATCTGGACTACATTGCTACATTACTTAATAAAAAAATGTTTTTAGTGCAAAATAAATGGAAGGGCATTTTCTTTTCATAAATCTGAAAAACTTGAATTGAGAAATATAATTAGTCAATGACTGGACAAATTTATGATATTTAACTTTGTTTAATTAATAAAAAGTTGTCTTTCCACCGTTCCAAAAATTACTAATAACAGCGATTTGATAGTAACACATTTTTTAGCCAAAAGACATGGTGAATGGGTGAATGGGTGAATGGGTGAATGGGTGAATGGGTGAATGGGTGAATGGGTCAATGGAATTGTACAATCTCTTTCCTTATCGTAGGTGAAAGTGACGTTCGTGACTTGATGTTTGTTCCAAAGGGGTTTGGGTATGCTTTTGCTTAACGAGGAAGGAAACATGTTTTTATACTAAATTATAGCAATAGGTTATAGAAGGATCTAGAAGATAACAAGATTAATAACAATATATTGTACATTTATTATTTAGATATTCATATATTACATTCATCATAGTTTAGGAAACTCTTTTGCTATATATGTTTTCTTATTATTCACAAGAGGAGTACAATCACTTATATAGGAATTACAGAGGAAGATTCTAGACTACAGTAATTAGAGAGTTTCCATAAGAATGTCAATCAAATATTCTTGTGATAAATGAGTATCGTTGACACAGCCTCTCAAGATGGAGGTGCTCTAGCAACACCAATCTTGTCTTGCAGTTCAAGGAATCTTGCTCGTTGAAGTGGTTTTGTTAATGCATCGGCAAATTGATCTTTTGTGTTGATATGAGCAACACGGAGAGCGTCACTTTGAAAAAATATATATATATATATACAATATATTGTTATTAATCTTGTGATCTTCTAGATCCTTCTATATAGGAGTATATATTAATAAAAACATTCAAACTAAAATTAAATGTAACTAGATCATGATCCGCACGTACGTGCGGGGTTTCATATTTTAAAAAATTTCTAACAAATTTTAATTCAGTATAGATTATTTTGTTGTTTTTAACTTTTTATGATATATATTTTAGTATATTAGATCTGGATCCACATACGTGTAGAGATATTTTTATAGAAATCGTTATATAGATTTTAAAAATATAAAATATTTTGTTGTGTTAGTGAACTTCGTAATAGTATAAATATTATAAAGTTAGAGTAATGAACAAAATTCAGTTGCGTTAATGCATAATTATATTTTAAGATCCAGATTAATTTAGTTGCAAAAGTTAAATGGTGTTACATTTTTATTTTCTTAACTAATCTAAACAGTCCTAACAGTTTGATTACATATGTTAAATAGGATATGAATTTGATTTTAGTTTGGGTTATTTCATGTATATTAGCTAGGCGTAACTATTTTGGAACATAAAAATATACCGTCTGGTATCTGTCATAAATTCTTTGTCCCATAACCTGTCACGTATACGTAAAATAAAAATATTATGGTCTCATATCTGTCATAAATAGAGTATGTGTACCTGAAAACGTATGTGTGTAAACAAATTTATTTTATATAGTGCTCATAACCCGAACTCATGCCAGTTGGGTATTTAGTTTGATTTTTAATATATGTTTCCCTCCCATCTCGTCTCGTAATTTATATTTTCATTTTATTCCATTAAAATCATATTCCAAATTCTTGGTTGCTTACCTTTAAATACCATACAATATTACAATATATATTGTGAATTTTGCGGATTAATATGTATGATGTTAAAGTTACAAATATATTTTAACAAATTTATTAATGATTCTAGCTAAATTTTGTATATTTTTCTTTTCATTGTTTAATCATAATTAATTCAATTTTTGGGACTAAAATTAAAACTTGAGATACATCTATAAAAATGATATGTTATTGCTGCATAATTTGTTTTGAATGCAAAATATATAATTAGTTCACATTATTTCGAAAATTATGTGCAATATATTATGGATTTGTTCAAGGAAGATCCGGTTGAGAAGAAAAAAAAACACAAAATATTTCGAAATTAATATGTACAATCTTTTGTTTAGATATTTCTGAAACCTTCTCTAAACGAATGCCATAATGATAATTACTTTAAATTTATCATTTTTGAATTTATTTCATAGTAAATATAAATATTTGTTAATATCTAATATCGTTTTTTAGAAATTTTGAAATAAAATTTTGTTTTATATTTCAAAATTTGTGAAAATATTATAACAAAACTGAGTCTTAAATATTTGTATTTAATATTTTTACGAAATTTCAAATTCAATCTTAAAATCCTCCATTGATAAAACTTTTTAAACGATAGTGTTTTTAATTTTGAATTATAATGTTATTATTTTTCTTTTTATTTTTGATATGGAATAGTTTATTAGGATTGGTTTAGATAAAATTTTAGTTAGATATTAAATCTTAGTTTTTTAATTCTCATTGGTTAACAACTTTTTAGAAGAAAAAATTAAATTTTCGTCCATAATTAATATGAGAGAGAAAGTGAGTTTAATTTTTTGGAAACTAATAATTATTTTAAAGAATTTTAGTATTTTTTATTTAAATATATTATTTTGTTATTATTATTGTATCTTTAATGAATTTATTTAAAAACAAAAACTAATGACATTTTTGTAATACTTTACACTTTATAAGGTTATTTATGTTTGAGTGCTTCCCAATTAATAGTATAGATAATTAAAGAGCTAAAGTCAGTGTTCAAGAAAACGCTAGGCGCTAAGCGGGCAGTGACTCAGTGCCTAGCGCCTAGAACGCCTAATCGGGACCTAGGCGATTTTTTAGGCGGTTTAGACGTTTATAACATAATACATTATAAATATGATATTATATATAAAAGTTATATAAAATATTAATATAAAACTAAAAATTATGAAATTATAAACAAAAACTAGATAAAATATTTATTTATATTTATATTAAACAATATATGAATATTTATAACTATATATATATATATATAAATAAAACTCTAATTGAAATTGAAAAAATACATTAAACAAGATCTATGTAATTTTAGGCGGTCAAGACGGTTATCTAGGCGTCGAATGAGAGCCTAGCGCCTAGTCGGGGCCTAGGCGACCGCCTAGACCGCTTTTTAGAACAGAGGCTAAAGTTATTCCAGTGGAGTTAGGCCTGCCACTTTATTCTTGATCCGTACTTTTAAAAATTAAGAAAAGAGAATAGTTTGATTCTAAAAATTCGGTTTTATCACTGGCTAAAATTTTTCATTTTGAATTTTTTTTTTTGTTTTCATTTTGAACCTTTAAGCACAAAAATTTGCAAATAAAATTAACCAACATTTTCAAGGTATCACTCCAACTATCAAAATTGCAAAACAAACACACAAGTAATACTAATAAATAGTAGAAATAGCAATATAGTTTTGTGATTTCCTCAGAATTATGGAGGTATTTTCCATATTTTTCCTAAACTTGTTTAAATACCGACGAATAGAGTGTGAGTGTAGCTGAGCTCAGATATTGAGGTAAAAAGGAGTGGACATCCGAAGAAAAAACCTAAAACCGGATCTTGCTCTCGAGGATGATGGGATTACTCTCAAACCAAATCTCCAGAGAGACATTGAAGCCTGGAGATCACATCTACTCATGGCGTACCGCTTATATCTACTCTCACCACGGTACCACCATCTCTTTCTCTATCTCTAACTATTATGTAGATCCATTAACTCTTCTGGGTTTATCAAAGATTCCAATTTTGGGTTGTTCTCATTACACAGTTTCGTAGCAATACATGTACGATTCGTTACATTTTCAGCCAATTTTCATGTTCGATCTTAGTTAACTTCTGGGTTTATCAAAGATTCCAATTTTGGGTTTGCAATTCGCAGGAATCTATGTAGGCGATGAGAAGGTGATACATTTCACTCGTGGAGGTGGTCTGGAAACCGGAACCGGGACATTCGTGGACAAGTTCATCGCTAGTTCTGTTCCGAATCATGGAGGAGACAACAACCCGTGTCCTAAGTGTGGAGATCAATCCAAACGCGACGGTGTAATCTCTTCTTGCCTTGATTGCTTTCTCGCCGGAGGAAACCTCTATCTCTTCGAGTACGGTGTCTCTCCAGCTTTCTTTGTCGCAAAACAACGAGGAGGTACTTGCACAACAGCACCTTCAGATCCTCCTGAAGAAGTTATTTTCCGTGCGAAATTCCTCTTATTGCGAAACGCTTTCGGTGCTTACAATCTGTTTGAGAACAACTGTGAAGATTTTGCCATCTATTGCAAATCTGGTTTGGTTGTCATGTCAAATATCAAGTTGGGAAGTAGTGGTCAAGCCAATTCGGCGTCTATAGCAAGGGATGCTGTTTCTTCGCCATTGGGACTTCTTGGGGTGGTGAACGCTAGTGGTAGAGCAGCTTCGGTGGTTTCTTCAACACTTCGCAATTTTGGTGCTGCTTTTGGTGGTCTGGTGTTGGTAGGGGGGTATGGTAAGTATTGTATGGATTGTCTGTATTCTGACATTGGTATGAGATCCGATGTTACTAAGTTGACTGTGCAAGGGCTCGTTTCCATTATTGAACTCATGGAAGGCAGATCGGAGGACAACAAGTCAATTGTAGATCAGACTGAAGGCAGGGACTTACCACCGACCATTACTCACGTTCATGAGAAGTTGATCAATCATGAAGCTAAGCTCTTGTCTCCCACTATGCACTCTGCGCTTCCAGTCACGGCCAATGTCTCAACGCAACGCAACAACAACAATTCAAATCGCCATCACAACAACAACAGGAATCACTACAACAACAACAGCAATTCGTCTTCAAACTGGCAGCCATCATACAACAAAACAGAGCAGAGAGGTCCACGTCCTTATCTCGGGCGCTGTCAGATCTGCAGCGTACATGGTCACTCTGCGAGGAGATGTCCGCAACTTCAGGGTCGTGTCACTCACGTTCATGAGAAGTTGATCAATCATGAAGCTAAGCTCTTGTCTCCCACTATGCACTCTGCGCTTCCAGTCACGGCCAATGTCGCAACGCAACGCAACAACAACAATTCAAATCGCCATCACAACAACAACAACAACAACAACAACAACAACAACAGGAATCGCTACAACAACAACAGCAATTCGTCTTCAAATTGGAGGACAACAAGAAGTCTAGTTAGTTGACATTATTGATGTTTGTTTGATGACTAGTTGTTGAGTAAGACAGATTTTGCTTTTCTTCTTTGTTTGTTTGTGAAAACTGTATTTTAACTATTTGTCGAATGGTAATTACAGTTTTGGTAACATTAATTGTCCAAGAAATGAACTCTTCAAGACTTTAAGATTATGAAACAATACTGCAACAGAATCCAACCAAAGTCATATCGGTTGTTTAAATAAAACAGCAGTTCTTTGGTTTATGCTGCTTCAGAGGTGTTGTTTCGTTTTAAGAGCGACGCCGCTTCATTGAGCCGGAATCGATGAAACTGCTTCCACGAATTTGCCGTCGTAGAAGACGAATTCACTTTCATGGTGCTTTCTGAGCTATCAGTAAAGTCACCTAGTTGTTGTTGTGAAGTAGAGAGTCTGCGTCTGCTTTTGTTGAATAGTCCAACTCTATATTTTATGTTATGATGTATGGATATTGATCACAAGTATCATATTCAATAAACGAACTTTCGAAACTGTTTCTCTTGTCTTCCAGTGGAAGATTATGAAGTTCGTGCAGGGGGGATATAAGTTGTCCAAGATGGGAAGACTATGAAATGAAGTTTACTCTTATTTTAATACAACTTCTCCTTTTAAGAAGAAACATTCATCCACAGACGTAAAAAACAATATAGTTGACTTTACATTTTGGGTTTAAAATCACAACCATAACAGAGCTAGGAAGAGAGATAGCTAGTCAGCAAAATGGGATCCCACTTTCTAGAGAAGATGGGATTTATCTCCAACCAAATCTCCAGAGATAAACTCAAGGCAGGAGATCACATCTATTCATGGCGTAACGCTTATATCTACTCTCATCACGGTTCTATCTTTATCTCTCAATAACGTGACTTTTCTGTTTTGGATTGCATCAAAGATAATCATATATTTGATGATCCTCACCTCAGGAATATATATAGGCGATGAGAAAGTCATTCATTTCACTTGTGGAGGTGGTCTAGAAACTGGAACCGGGACCTTCTTGGACAAGATCCTCGTTAGTGTAATCCCGAATCATAAAGGAGACAATCCTTGTCCTAATTGTGGAGAGCGATCGAATGTCGATGGTGTAATCTCTTCATGCCTTGACTGCTTTCTCTCCGGAGGAAACATCTATCTCTTTGAGAACAGTGTCTCTCCAGCTGCATTTATTGCCAAACCTCGACGCGGCACATGCACAATAGCACCTTCGGATCCCTGTGATGAAGTCATTTCCCGCGCCAAATACCTCTTATTCCGGAATGGGTTTGGTGATTACCACGCTTTGGAAAATAATTGTGAAGATTTTGCAATATATTGTAAAACTAGCTTGCTGGTCGGAAAAAACTATGTGTTGGGAAGGGGAGGTCAAGCCAGCTCGGTTAGTGCAGCTGCGTGGCTTGCGCAACTTAGTCCTTTCGGCAGCAAAGCTATTCAGCTCTTTGCAGATATTGGTGTGAGAAAGGATGCTATTAGGGTGCCCGTGGAAAGCCTCGTTGCTCGCGCATATGCTACTGGTACCTCTAGAAATAGAAGTTGATAAGTTTGAAGACACAAGTCAACAGGCGGGAAAGCCAATTCGTTCGAAGAAACCAAATCATTGACTATATCTTGTTTCCATTTTAATAACGTTTCCAGAATGTAGGAAACATGATCAAACATTGTAGAAACACTCACTACTATTATTCTATATAAGCCAAAAAAGCAAAGAATAAAATTCCTCAGACATAGAGCTAGATTGATTTTGTACTTTCCATCAAGGCAAATATTTTACAAAGATACATTTACATTAAAGAGATTAAAGATCTTACCGGTCGAGATGCTGCTAGCTACTGAGAATAATAAGGTGGGTGGTATTGAGGCGGCAACACAAATCCAGTTTGCTGAGCATAGTAATGAGGTTGAGGAGTTGCAGCGGAACCAAAGAGCCCAGCTAATGGGTTCACAACAACACCAGAAAATGCTGAGGTCATAAGACCATAAGGGTTCAACTGTAAGCCATGATGACTATGCTCAGGCATTAGAACAGCTTCTGGTCTAGAAAGTAGCTGCTGACTTGGAGCTGGAACTTGCGTCCCATTGCAGTCACGCGTCCGTTTTTTCCCCTTTTGCTGTGGCTCTTGCTTGGGAGGGTTAGTGGCGTTGCGTTTCCTCAGTGCCTTATACTTCTCCAGCTCTTCTACACGCTCCTCAACTTTCTCCTGGGTAAACTCGGAATCAAGGTTTTGATCTTTGATGATTTTGATCGCTGCTTTCAAGGCACTGACTTCTTTATCAATGGCTTCGTTCTGCGACTTGGTAGAGTAGTTATCTTCCACGCAAACTCTAAGAGCAGCTTCTCTAGAGTCCTTAATGTAAGATTTCAAAACAGAGATTGGCTCGAATTCATCAGTCATCCCACACTCATACATGAATTTGACTGCCAAGATTGATTTGCCAGAATCCATGAGTTTCTTGATGAGTGTCCCGACTCTTTCCCTATCTAAACCAATCTTGTTACACACTGAAGTTGCTTGCTTATACTTAGCGATCATGAAAACGTAATCAGAAAGCTCCTCTGAGTTAAATTCTGATCCCAATTCAAAAGCTGCGACTAAATGCAGAAACACCAACGCCTCGAAAGGCTTAGTATCTATCTTCGTTTTCCAATCGTAAGCCAGTTTCTTCGCTCTATTTCTCGTATCAACAGTGATATTCGCATTACTCTCAATCAAAACTTCCATTAACAAAACGAAAACTCTCCTTGCATCGAATGATTTTCCCGATGACGACGGAGTGTGGTTCTGGTTCAAACCTTCGACTGCGTCCAAAACCATGGACGCCGGATCCGGAGAGTAACGAATCGCTGCAGAAACTTCTTGATTGAGAGGAGCGTCATCATCCCATTGAACAATCAAATACTTGCTCAAACCAATTCCGTCCATCTTCTCACACAACGCTCTCAACTCCGGCTCAACAACGGGTTGCTCCGATACCTCCTCCGACGAAGAAGTAGAAGTGTCGAGTCTGTACGAATCATCTTTCAAAGGAGCTGTAGATTGGAGGAGGCGGAAACGGTTAGCGAGGGAGGATTGGAGAGAGGAAAAGTGAGAATCGATCTCAGACCAGGAAAGAGATAAAGACGGTGAAAGGAGAGAGCGATGAGCTTGAAGATCGTCGAAAGCTTTCTTTAGCTTTTCTTTCTTCTCATCAATCTGATTTATCGCGGTGGCGATAGTCTCAGTCGTCGTCATTGTTTGAGCCCTAAGATTTCTTTTGATTTCTCCGGCGATTAAATATAGATAGCCGCATTAGAGTTGACATTATCGGTTCGGTTCGGTTCGGTTATTGTAATAAAACTAGGAATTGTTTTTCACTTGATTCTGGTTCGGTTTATTTCGGTATATTTAAATTCAAATGGTTTGGAGTTTGGATGATTCAATTTCGTTTCGATTCGGTTAGACAAAATCCAGACCACACCAGTCTAGTAGTCGTCTCTGGAGTCAGCAGCTCGTGGAGACGATGGAATCGAAGAGAGGAGATTAGCGAGTTTGAGAGAGAAACCCTAATCTCTTAATTCAGTCCCATTTTCACAGATCATGTCTTGGCTTCCTGTAGAATCTGATCCTGGTATATTTTCTCTCCTCCAATTTCGGGTTTTTTGTTGTTTTCTAGATTAATAAAGAGATGATGTGCGTAACGAGGTTTTGATAGTGGAGCACTAAAACCTGATTTATGTTTGGATTTTGTCAAATTAGAAGCCCAAAAATGTTGACAATAGTCTTCTTTGCATCTACAACACAGCGAACGAGGAGAGTGATACTTAGTGTGTGAGCATTGGAAAATAAAAGTAATGATGCTTTTTGATATTACATATCAACAATGGTGTTGGTCTTATACTAAGTGGATAGTGTCTCTCTCGATAGCCATCGCCATGTCGCTTTCTTGTTTGTTATTTTCTTCATTTTTATTCGTTTTCTGTATTATCTGTTGTTTATAGGTATTTTCACTGAGATTATACAACAGATGCAAGTGAAAGGTGTGCAGGTTGAGGAATTGTATTCCTTGGACTTTAATTCTCTTGATGAAATAAGGTAGTGTACTTGTTACTCTTTCATCTTTTCTTGTTCGAAGCACAAGAGAAAAAAAAACGTCAAATTTACCTCTGTCCTGAAAACTTGCAGACCTGTCTATGGATTGATATTGCTTTACAAGTGGCGTCCAGAAGAAAAGGAGAATCGTGTTGTTATCACAGAGCCAAACCCGAATTTCTTCTTTGCAAGCCAGGTCTTTCACTGCCACATTAGGTTTGTGACATACGGATTTGCCAATCATTACCTTTTTATAAACTATTGTGTTTCTTGCAGATAATCAACAATGCTTGTGCGACCCAAGCGATATTATCAGTCCTCATGAACTCTTCGAGTATTGATATTGGCTCAGAACTATCAGAACTGAAACAATTCGCCAAAGAATTCCCACCTGAACTGAAAGGTTTAGCCATCAGCAACAATGAGGCGATACGTGCAGCTCACAACACATTTGCCAGGTCTGACCCGTCTTCCACTATGGAAGAAGAAGAATTAGCTGCTGCGAAAAATCTAGACGAAGATGATGATGTGTATCATTACATCAGCTACTTACCTGTTGATGGTATCTTATATGAGCTCGATGGTCTTAAAGAAGGACCCATTAGTCTTGGACAGTGTCTGGGTGAGCCAGAAGGAACCGAGTGGCTCAGAATGGTCCAACCTGTAGTACAAGAGCGGATTGACTGGTATTCGCAGAATGAGATTCGCTTTAGTCTCTTAGCTGTAGTTAAGAACAGGAAAGAGATGTATGTAGCTGAACTGAAAGAGTATCAAAGAAAGCGAGAGAGGATTTTGCAGCAGTTAGGTGCTTTGCAAGCTGATAAATACGCTGAGAAAAGCAGTTATGAGGCTCTCGATAGGTCTCTTTCGGAAGTCAATATCGGGATAGAGACTGTTTCACAGAAGATTGTATTGGAGGAGGAGAAGTCTAAGAACTGGAAGAAAGAGAACATGAGAAGGAAACACAACTATGTCCCTTTCCTTTTCAATTTCCTCAAGATTCTTGCTGACAAGAAGAAGCTGAAACCTCTCATTGCTAAGCGTAATCCCTAAATCTACTTTGCCAGGATGTTAACTTGGTAGAAATCAGATGTGTTAGTGATCTGAATACCGTGGTTATATGTAGCAAAACTTTAACTTATTTCTCTGATCACTCAATGTGTGAGGCTTGATTGTAATTGGTCTGAGGATTTTGGTGAACCAAATCTTTTTTTACTTAATTACATGTTCCTTATATAAGAAGCATATAAGAAACAATAAATCAAAACCTATTACAAAACCTGTTCTCTTCGTTTTTGTAAAACTTGTATAGCAATGAAGATATCTCTAGTTTTTGGTTCATGTCTCAAATCAGCTGCTTCGTATCGTCTGTGTGAATCATAAACCGACAGCAGAAATTCGGGTTGAAAATGACAGTTCAGTCTCAAAACTGGTTATCATCATCACTCGGACCTAGTGTTTGTGAAAGAAGAGAGTAAACCGGCAGCTTGAGCCGGTAGTATATCGCCAAATGTCGACATAGCGGCTGCTGATCTGTCCTTGAATATTCCCACTTGTCCATCAGTTAATATTGATCCCAGTTTCAATGTGCTTTCCTGAAAAACAATTTGTACATGGTCTAAGATACTAAACCAGATTACAACATTGTCGCCATTAATTAATAAAAGACTAAACGTTTACCTGCATGAAAGACTTAAAAGCCACGCCGAAATTGGAATTTTCTTCCAAATCACTTGTTTGAGATTGCTCGCCGTTTGTAAATGCATTCCATGAGTTTCTTGACGAAGCACCATTTGATGTAACTGGTATAGAGACCTTATTTGTACTTCTAGAAGACAGAGCTGGAGCGCTACATTTGACCCAAAACGAAGACTTCTGATATCAGAAACTAGTTTCCCAAATTTAACAAAAGCTACAACAATGTTAGATGTAGAAAAAGAAGATCTAACCTTATGGGAAGGTATTTGAAGCGAGGAACTGTGGAACATGGCATGATGTTTGATTCTGAATTAGTTGATAGTTTCTGCGCAGTATCTGTGTACATTCGGTTTAGTTGCACAAAGAAACCAAAGAGTACAGCATGGCGTAGGTATGACTGCTTTTCGTTCTCCCAAAGATAAGGCTCGTACCTTTTTTGATATTCAAAATAATAGAATCAGAGTGTGATTGAGACAATAAAGAACAAGACGATATTCACAGGCCAGGAGCTTCTTAGAGCAGCCAAAATAGTAAAAGATAATATATGACGTAGGTAAAAAATAGGGATAAGATTTCTTACGTGAGCCAGTCTATGGGATCCAACTTTTGGGTTAGTTTGGAGGTCACTCCATCAATGCGACCTCTATTAACTAACTTTGTTTTCTGTTGGTCCTGCTTTCGCCTGTAAGCCGATCTATTCATTGTACTCTTTGGTGTCTCCATATTGATGCTTGTATCACCCCCAGAAAGAACGTCAGATGCAAATCTCAAATCCAGCAAAATTTGTAAAACTCCTTTCTCTGAAATTTGGGGTTCGTTGGCCTCCCTGGCAGATAAGAAATCCTCATAAATAATGGTGATCTGCATTGTACAATGGAAGGTTGAAATAATCATTCTTATAGGCAATCACTAGCTTGGATATGTTTTCTGATGAAAGTGAAAAAGTATTGAATAGGAAACAAAATTTATCAAACAGCTACGAACATTTTGAAGAGAAAATCTTTTCTTGCCAGAAATATCTCTGTCGTAGATGGAAAAAGAAGAAGTAATCAGAGATAACGCACCTTCTCCAACAGGCTTGAGGCAAATTTTTGCAAAATTGACTTATCCAGTACGTGACCTCCAATTCGATGAATTTCTTCTGATGCCCGACAGAGAAATGAAATCATATAGAGCGAAGGCAAGGATGGAAGTGATATCTTCAACTCAGATTGACTCTCGTCCTGCTCTTGCTTCACTATTGTCTCTTCCCATCCCTATATCATACTTCAAAGATGAGCAAGGACACTACAAAATTAACCTTGCATATGACTATTGAAATGTAAGAGGAAGTGTACACCCTTGCATTACAACTTCAAAGAATCAGAATGGTTCAGAATTGTCTCCATCCAAAAACACAGAATTTGAACACAGGACACAAACAAACTAACTACCTATGTAGATTTAGTCAGCTCTTTCTAAATCGATGCAGGAGAGACGGCTAAGCAGAACGAATTAAAAGACAAGAAAATGCAGACAAAGGATAAGGTCATATTTAGTTACCCTTAAAGGAGTTGTAGCAGACAATCCATCATCACTCCTAAGATCATGCAAGAGAATAGCTGAAAGCTCATCAGATAACCACTGTATCCACAATGTATGAGCCTTGATGCACAGATCTCGCATAGTTCTATTAAGCTCTTCAAATTTTGGACTTGTCTTCTCTTCCGCTCCCAGTAGTGCAGCAACAGCTAATGAAGTCTGCTTTCTAAGATCGGTATGGAATTGCTTTCCAGGGCTGTCGGCAGTGACTCCAGTATTCGAGCCAAATCTTGGTTGCCTCAACAAGGATGACAACTTATCAGAAACTGCAGTCATAGTTTCTCTACACCACAATCTTGGAGAACCGAGAATTAAGGGAACATGTTTTGAGTGGTTCAGCAATGCAAACAAAAGGCGTCCCATAAAAAGTGATTTCTCAACTATTATAGCAGGTGGAATTGCTTCACTGTCCTTGTTCTCTTTCTTCACGGCAGCACAGAGAAATTCAAGTTCTTTTTCTATATCTGCAAGAAGTGCAGACACACTGTCATAACACTTATTCTGCACGTATGGGGCAAGATCCTTTAACCTTGGACCTGCCTTTTCTGACTCGAAGAAGCTGAGGAGGTCTTCCAAAACACTCTGGCAGCGCCTATCAACTGCATCTCTCATTTGGCTAACTTCAGGACCAAAGTACGCAGTTAGACAACTTTGGAAGTCGCTTTCTTCAGGCGATGATTTATTTCCGGAAATAAGACCAAGTTTCTTTGCATTAGGCTCAATGAACCAGACACCACCACCTGTAGAAGGTCTGTTTAAGTATGCTTGGAAGTTGATCTTTTCACCAGTAATCTCGCTATAAGCATGTACAGAATCTGCTACATTGACAGCTTTAGCCAAATCCTCAAATCTGGAGTCAATAATAGATTTCATTCTTTCCACAAAGGCCTCCTCAAATATTTCATCCCATAGGTTCAAATCATCCCCCAGAACAAGCTCTCGGATTCTATTCCAAGGCAGCTCTACCTCAGACCCGAAAACACTTTTAAGCCAATCCAAACTACCCCTCAAGACATCTTTGCTATCCATGGTCTCCCTTATCAACTTTTCGGCTGATCCAAGCTCCGTGCCAGTAACTATAGCTTCAATCAAATGCTTCCCACTAACCTTACCGACAATCTGTCCACCGCATTCCCTCAACCAAGTCAGACAAGCCTTAGAAACGTCATTTTTATCAAGGATGACCATGACGGATTCCAGCTTATCTCTGAAGGATTTCCACAACCCAACCTCCTCCTCTGGATTCGGAATTCCACCAAACAGTTGAGAAGCTGGAGGGGTACTCAAGATTGTTTTATAAAATAGAGGCATGTCAGTCAAGGCTTGCAAGAAGAGTTCCCCAACCTGTCCCACTGTAACCTGAATCACACTTAACACATCACAAAACACCGAAACGACCTCACCGGCATCCTCACCAGTACAAGCATTCAACTTTTGCAGAATCCAAGTCTTCCTCGAGTCTAGAAACAAGTCAAGCACTTGCTCTGGATCAAGCTCATCAACCACCGAGACCGCAGTTAAGGCGTCCACGTAAGCTCCAAGTCCTAAACCCGGATCCAGAAGCCGCTCATGGCTCCTCTGCGAAATTTGAGCCTTGAAACTCTCCACTATCTGCCATTGGTGCTCCAAAAGTGGGAAATTCGCCAATAGCTTACTCTGATCCACCTCAGCTGCACCACCACCGCCACATCCCTCCAACTTGATCAGTCTCTGCTGCACATGCTGAGCACGCATGTACCTCCCCGCAGCCTCAAGAAACATCGACTCGTCAAGGCATCCCCAAATATTCTCCGGCGTATCCACCAAATACTTAACACGACAAGCGATCCCATAGACATTGACTCGTACTGGATTAAGGCTAGCAAGCTTAGGAGTTTCCGCTACAGAAGAAGAAGAAAGCGATCGAATGTTACCGTGGATCGAAGAAATATTGGCCGAGATCGACTCACAGAGCGACTTCATGTGAACAATCGAGTCAGCTGAGTCGATTAGATCACGGTACCTAGTCCCCACGAGTTGCCGAAGCTCCTCTTTCTTATCCTCGATGTTCTTCCTAGTCGCCGACTCCACATTTCGAATCTCCGACATTGGTTTCGTGCGAAACAGAGACTCAGCATCTCGTTGACCACCTCCGCTACTGCTGAGACTCACGGCGGCAGGCCGGTATTCCCCGGCGGAAGCTGATGACATTCTCATGGTTTCTCAAGCGTGGCTTCGTGCGTATTCTCTTCTAGCAATCCATCATAGCTTCCACTGACTGAAGAAGAAGAGAAACAACAACACAGATCTGATCGGATCTGGGATAGCTTTGCCTCAGATTCAGAAGTAGAATCCTCCAATTAAGATCTAATTTTTGAGTTTTTTTTTTTAGTTTCTGCCATTGCTGCGAAAGAAATTCACGACGAGAATTAAACGTTTGCTGAATATTACAACTTTGCCCCTGATTTGGTTCGCAAGGAAGGATTCTAAACCAAGTCCGGTCCGGTTATAGCTTAAATTGTTAAGTTTTATTGTTTTAAGATCGATTGGAGTATAGACTTGTATTACATACAAGTCTTTTGCTAGTAATACAACTGACAAACTGGTAACAACAGTGTTCTACATTTGAGAAAAGTATTCAAAACTAATTTAACGGAACAAACATTATTATTTATTTTTAGTTCACTAAACAGGTCCTCCTATAACAACAACTCGAAACGCCATGGCTTGTGAGGAAGCAATCAATCACAGAAAACAATGTGCAGTCCTTTTGACTAGTACACTGAAGCTTGCGGTAAGTCCTCTGCACAAGAAGATCCTTTCATATATAACGACAACAATGCATGATGCATCTGTGTGATTATTTAAGAGATTACTAACCTTCGGAACTACAAAGGAAGAGAGTATCCACGAAGATAAGTCGAATCCACTCCAGATTCTCTTACCAATGCCACTCTTCCTG